TTATTAATAATTTATATTAATTAAAATATAATATAAATAAATAAAAAAACTGAAAATAAAATAAATAATATATATTAATTAATAATTTTCTTTAAATAATAATAAAATAAAAACTAATAATAACAAAAGGATAAAAAAAACATAAAAAATCATAAAACAAATTATTTGAAGGCTATTTAAAGATGCCATTAGCCTCCCCTAAACTTATTACAATGTCTACTTTGTCTGAAGACATTTTATCTATCAAAAAATTTAAAAAATTAATTAAAAAAATAATAATATTAATCCTCTATCCTTGTTTTCTGGAAGAATTGAATTGTAAAGCTAGGTTTGAAATTGATTTTGGATGGATGTTTGCGGGTGGATACTACAGCCGCCGGTAAACGCCACGCTCCTGCAATCACAACCACCCTTTTCTCCCACAAAACGTCTTCGTTTTTCCTCCTTTTTCTCCCCCCCATGAAACCTCCCACCATTTTTACCCAATCTCAAAACCTGCACATGTATTCCTCCTTCAATCATCTCCATTCTATGCCTCTCCGTTTTCTTCAATCATCACTCCTACCTCCGTCTTTCCCACATAACAATTTCATCGATTCCCCCAAAAAACAAGACAGAAAATTGCTTCTCTGTGTTCAAGATTCAAGAACACAACTTCTTGAATGTAATAACAACAATAATAATCCCAAATTCTGTCGACCCGATTACCCTGACCAATTTTCCTGCGTACCCATTTCAAAGATTCTCAGAAAACCCATACAAGAAGAAGAAAAAGTTCGCCAAGAAGATGGAGATGATGATTTATGGCTGGTTATGAAAGATGAAGCTCAATCAGACGTTAATCGAGAACCCATTTTATCCAACTATTATTTCAGCTCAATCTTGTCTCATAATGTTATCGAAACCGCTTTAGCTCATTATCTTTCTGTGAAGCTCAGCGATTCAAGTCTTCCAAGTGGGACCCTTTATGAGCTTTTCATGAGTGTGCTTTCAGAGGATCAAGAAATCATTAGAGCAGTTAAAGATGATTTAAGGGCTGTAAAGGAAAGAGACCCAGCTTGTATTAGTTACGTTCAATGTTTCTTGAACTTTAAGGGTTTTCTTGCTTGCCAATCTCATAGGATAGCGCACAAACTATGGTCACAAGATAGAAAAGTTTTAGCCTTTATGATACAAAATAGGGTTTCAGAGGTTTTTGCATCGGATATACATCCGGGGGCGAAGATTGGGCGGGGAATATTGCTTGATCATGCCACCGGAGTAGTCATCGGAGAGACTGCTGTAATTGGCAACAATGTGTCCATTTTGCATAATGTGACATTGGGTGGCACAGGGAAGGTTAGTGGGGATAGACATCCGAAAATTGGAGATGGGGTTTTGATCGGGGCTGGGACTTGCGTTTTGGGTAACGTTAGGATTGGAGAGGGGGCGAAAATAGGGGCGGGTTCGGTGGTTTTGAGAGATGTGCCTGCTAGAACTACTGCTGTTGGGAATCCTGCTAAGCTAATTGGAGGGAAAGAAAATCCAGTTAAGCTTGATAAGATCCCTGGTCTTACTATGGACCATACTTTACATATAAATGAATGGTCTGATTATGTTATATAAAATTGTCTGTTTTTGAAGTTCACAATGTGATTGGTTCCCCCAATGGATGTCTGTTTTTGATTGTTCTCTTTTGTTCAAGTGGGAGTTGAAGTTAAAGATCTTTTGGTGGGAATTGTCATTTTCTACAATGTATATGTATATGAGCTATATTTTAGTTGTACCAATAGATTTAATGCAGATTGTGATGAATAAAGAGGGTTTGTGGCCTTCAAATGTTTGTAGATGCCATTTCAGACTTTCAGTGCTGTTATCTTTCATTCAATTCTCAATTGATGCTGTTCTTTAATGAGAGGCTGATTTGTTAAGCCATTTCACCCATGTATGTTTGTCCTATGGCAGGAATGCTACATTTTGCTATTGTTGGTTTCTCAAAGGTACCTCTCTAACCAAATCTTTGCTGAGATAAATACGTTATTATACAATGAAAACTTAGAACATACCATCTATGCATCTTCAACGTGGCTATTTACTATTTTCTTTCATTAACTTCTCAATCTGTTAAGTTGTTTGTCTTGATAAATTTGTCTGTCTGAAGAGCGGGAGATCGATGGGTTTGAGGGAGGCAAAGATAGAGGGTTTGATTATTTCTGGTATTAATTTTTTTGTGGTGGCTTAATGTGGACAAGTGAGGGGTTCAAACTTATTCCATATAGCCAATTTGGCATAGTGGCTTAACGATGAAGCCATAAACAAACAGTCTTGTATGGCTGGAAGAATAAGCCCTGCAGACCATTAAGCTCATTAAGCTGTACATAAACAGTCCTAAGACCTATCTTGATGTAGAATAACAATATTTGTGCTAAAAGACTAGATTTCCCCAAAATGATCTACACTTGCCTATATTTTTAACATGCAAGTAAGCGGCTTTTTGGTAAGTTTTCCATTAAGTCCTGAATGGATAAAGCCGCTTTTATGGATTAATTTGCTTTAATAGATTGGGAAGATTTTTGTTTGTGAGGGTTTTTCCTTAGATGGAAGGAGTTGTTTTTTAATTGGAAGCGACATGTTTGGAAAAACTTGCCTTTCTGCATAAAGCTTCCCCCTAGAAGCTTCATGAATAAGCCACTTTCTATATCTTTAAGCCATTACCAAACATTCATGCATAGCTGATCGAATAAGCTGCGAGTCCCATTAAGATGCTAACAAACACCATGTCTTTGATCTCATCTATTTCTTGTCCTAAGCCCTTGTGAGTATCTGTTTTTCCCGTGCAAAAAGACAAGTAACTACGCAGCTAATGATTTGGACAACGAGCAAAACAAAAGATATATAGTTTTCTAGTCATAGTCTTGTGTCTTTTAATGTTGGTTTTGATATGATCAATAGCATCTTATGCCTGCTTCTTTTGTTCTTTTCTGAGGTTTTGTACACATTGTGTTGATCAGCGACTTTTGCCTTGATGGTATCAAAATATCGACAAATCAGTGTAGTATATAATAAACCTAGTGATGCGATATGTTTTGATGGCCAAAAAGATCATATAATCAGACCTTGGTGTCTGTATATTTTGCTTAATTAACCTCATCCCAGATTCAGATCCTCCATGGAGCTCAGTTTTCAAATCTTTTTCACATTTCTCTTTATGTTAACTATAATCAAACTCTTGAGGCGATCCAAAACAGGTCATTCGACTCCCAATCTACCTCCTGGCCCAAGAAAGCTGCCTCTGATCGGAAACATTCTTGACGTTGCTGGTCCACACCCACATCGGATCTTGAGAGATTTGGCACAGAAACATGGACCGCTGATGCACCTACAACTCGGAGAGAATTCAACAATCATCGCCTCTTCAGCCGAAACTGCAAAAGAGGTTATGAAAACCCACGATATAAACTTTGCCAATCGACCTTTTCTTCTTGCTGCAGATATCATTACCTACAAGTCCACAAACATCATGTTTTCACCATACGGAGATTATTGGAGACAACTTCGTAGGATTTGTAATTCGGAACTTTTAAGTGGAAAACATGTTCAATCTCTTAGACCAATAAGGGAAGAAGAGGTTTCTGGTCTTATAACCGCCATTTGTGAACAGTCAGGATCACCATTCAATCTCAGTGAACATATCTACGCACTCACGTATGGGATCACTACAAGATCAGTCTTCGGAAAGAAGCTGAAACACCAAGAAGCACTGATATCGCTCATTGATGAAGCTATAGGCCTGTCGGGTGGATTTAGTCTTACTGATCTCTATCCTTCTTCTAAAGTTATCGCCTTTCTCAGTGGGCTTCGGCCAAAACTTGAAAAGATCCATCAAAAATTCGATAAGATGCTAGACAACATAATTGAAGAACATAAAGCTCGTGAAGTAGGAAACGGAGATGCGAATCATCTTCTATTCGACGCTCTTCTGAAAGTCCAAGAACATGGCAATCTTGAAGTCCCCTTGACCATGGACAACATCAAAGCAATCATCTTGGTTAGTAAACCTTTATTTTTTTTGAATTATGGTTCCTATTTTGGTTTTGGGTTTTTAGATTCAGAGCTGTGGCACAATAGTGGTGCACTTCAATGTTTAGAGTTATTTGTCACTCTTTTTGAACACATAAAAGTCGAAGGTTGTCAGAGGTTTTACAAAGTTTCTTTTGTTATCAGGATGTATTATCCGCCGGAAGTGACACATCTTCGACAGTCATAGAATGGGCGATGTCCGAATTGCTAAAGAATCCAAGAATCATGGAACGGGTACAAACTGAAGTTCGACAAGTTTTCAGTACAAAAACGACAGTCGACGAAACTGGCATCGAGTCATTGGATTTCCTAAAAGCGGTTATCAAAGAAACGCTCAGATTACACCCTCCTGCACCATTGATGTTGCCAATGGAAAACAAGGAGAGATGTGAGATCAATGGGTACGAAATCCCCATGAAGACGAAAGTAGTTGTGAACGCGTGGGCGATCGGTAGAGATCCCAAATATTGGGAAGATCCTGAAAGATTTCATCCAGACAGATTTCTTGATAGCTTAATAGATTACAGAGGACTTAACTTCGAATACATCCCATTTGGTGCCGGACGAAGAATATGTCCAGGGATATCGTTTGGATTAGCGAATCTCGAGCTTCCACTTGCATCTTTACTCTACCATTTTGATTGGAAACTGGCAGACAGCACGATGAAGACGGAAGATTTGGACATGACTGAAGCTTTTGGTGCAACTGTTAAAAGGAAAAATGGTCTGAATCTTATCGCAACTGTTCGTTATCCTCCTGTTTAGTGAAGAGTAAGGTGAAATCTGAAATGTTTGTGGTTTCCTGAATGTAATAATGGAATAACATGACTGAATGAAGTGGTAAGATCTTTGATGCAGATATTGGATTCAATTCTCATGGTTTCTATCATGATTGATAACAATTCATGCAGATATTTATCACTTTTATCTTTACCTCTTAATAGTTCTATTAGGAAGCAACCTTTGAATTGTTAAGAGGTGAATCTTGTTTGGCAAAAAAATAAGTCTGCCTCTTAATGGTTCTAAAACCCTCTGAATGATTTTGTATCCTAGATCTCCTTTAACCATTAAGGGCCCTAATTTCATTATATACAATTATCAAACAATTATATTTCATTTTGCACTATATCATAAGAGGCTCTTCATCATTAAGAATTGATTTAGTTTATCTTATTAGTGTTGATTAGTGGTTTTATTCAAGATTGATCGAATATGTAACTATTAGACTTTTAAATTAATAAAACGATAGTTTTTTCCTTAACTTTAGACAAATAAATTTTCTCCGTCACGTAATTAATTAATGGTAAAATAAGAAAGTAAACATTTACTTGTTACAAGTGGATACTTATCAATTAATTGATACTTATTTTAGAATAAACTAAAATAGTAACTTAGTCATATAGACATTTACCTTTGTCACTCCTATGGTTATTAAAAATTTCAATTTTCGTTCATATGATTTAAAAATTACACTTTTTGTCCCTTTGGTTTGTAAGTTATTGTTCATTTTTGTCTTTATCATTTATAATTTAGAGGAGATTTACTTTACAAATCACGTTATTTGTACAAACCTCATTCAACTAATTATAATTTGTCATTTTATTCATTTTTTTTGTAATTACGAAAGATTGATTAATCATTTTTATTGTGGAGAGTATTAATCATAAATATTATCATTATCATTAATATTAATTTTTGAAAATACATAAAACAGTTTCATTAAAATTTATAACCATATATGAAACACTTTATCAAAAATAGTATTATATGAAAAAATTTCATAAATTTTTTTATAAGATTAAACAATGAATCAACAAATAAGATTAAACAATGAATCGACAAATAAAAGTAATTTACACAGTTTATTTTGATCATACTTAGGGGGTGTTTGGGATTGCTTATTTAAAACAACTTATGCTTTTTTGTAAAAGTGTTTATTAACTTATGCGGTATCAAACCGGAGTTTTGTAAAAAGTGTTTGGATTAGCTTATAGCGGTACCAAACTGCAATAAGCTGATAAGTTGTTTTTTAGTGTTTGACAAATTTTGCTTATACATGTAAAATGACCAAAAAGGACATCTATATATGTAAGCTGATATGTCAAACTTTTATAACCAAAATATCAATAACAAAAAAATAGATGTGGGTTATCGATCGATCAGAAAACCGATGTCGGAGACTGGATGCAGGTGGGATGTCTCGATCGCATAGGGTTATCGATCTCTAGGGTTATCGATCTCTAGGGTTATCGCATAGGGTTATCGATCGATCGCATAGATGTGGGTTATCGATCGATTTGTTCATTGTATAGGGTTATCGATCTCTAGGGTTAGGGTATCGATTTGTGATAGAAGAGATCGATCGGAGATCGATCGGAGAAGAAATCGATCGGAGAAGACGTACCTGGAGAAGAGGTGGAGAAGACGTGATGGAAGAGATCGATCGAACTGTTGACGTACTGGAGAAGGGATCGATCGGAGAAGACGATACAAATGTGGGTTAACAGGGGTAAAATGGTAAATCGGTAATAAGTCAATTTTCATAAGTCACAAATGATTAACTTATCAAAAACTACTTATTACCGGTTTGGTACCGGTATAAGCATTTTTTTTTTTTACCCAAACACTCCAGAATAGCTTATCTCCGGTACCAAACTAAAATAAGTTAATAAGTCAGTTTGAAAAGCCTTCCCAAACACCCCTTAAAATTAGAAATTAGTTTTGGAATAAAAATAATTGAAATTATCAATAACCCGTAACGACGAAGATCACACAATTTACTCTAAATTTCATTACATTTTGATACTTGTTTTAACTTCCAAACGATTATGAATTTGAAGGGGGGTTATAAATATCATTTTAAAGATTCCCACTTGATGAAAATTCAACTTGCTTCAGCAAAAAAGAGCAAAAAGGGGGTTGGTGTTGTGTGGAACGACGGAGACGATGATGAAGAAGAAAGAAGACCACCCTAATCTCATCGCTTTCAAAAACCCTCTTCTCCTCCTTCACTAATCCTACCCATGTTCTAAAACCCTACTTCCATCTTTCACTTGCTTGTGATTTCTATCATATCCCCTTTTTGTTTTTCATCATCTTAATCTCCTACAATTTATCTCAAGAAAACCCACATGGATGTTATTGCAGTCGAACCTTCAATTTGGAACACTTCATCATCATATAGAACACTCCCTAAACCTACCCTTTTCAGAATATCACCAAAAAGTTGCCCTAAAATCTTGCATTGTACACCTGGAGTTGCTAGATTCAACAAAAGGGTTATTCTCAGAAACTTTCTTGATTCAAGATTTTCGATAAATAGTTGTTATAGAGTTGTTAGTGAGGATAGAGGATTGAGATCTGTTTGGGTTAAAAGTAGTAATGTGGAAAACCATTCAAAATCCCCAAGTTTGGATTATGAAATTTTGGTTAAGAAAGGATTGGTTTTATTGGCTGTGTGTTGTGGGGTTGTAGGGTTTGGATGCAGAAGGGTTCTTGCTGCTGAAGGAGTCTTGAATGGTGGATATGTGGGCTTAGACCAGATTAAGTTGTCATTGATGAACTCTTTGCCTAAAGTTTTGATGGTTCTTAAGGTTTTAAAGGAACAGGGTTTGATCTTGGCTGCACTTTTTGGTCTTTCTGCATTTTTCTCCATGGCTGAGACTTCAATTACTACTCTTTGGCCTTGGAAGGTATTCATAATTTCATATTTCTATTGAACTTATAAAAGTTAATAGAGTTTTTTATGTTCTGTGTGTTTGGTTTACCTTTTGTAGACTATTTCTATGACAAGATATGCAGTCACTTAACAATCATATAATGTCTGCCAAGAATGTGATGATAATTGGTAATTGATAATAGCCAGTGATTTGTTACCCCAACATTTGCAAGTCCACATTGCTTCAAAGTGTGTAATTCATTATTCATATGTGTTTTCTATCAACAGTATTTGTCGAATGGGAGAGCATATGTATAGCTCTTATTATTACTGAGTTCTTGCATTGGCCCGTAGGCTGTAGCATTGATTTCGTGCTATTAGATGTATGTAGAGTTGATTTTCAAAAACGGGGATACCCTCCAAGTAGCAATGTAGTTTTCATTTGACCAACTCGGTCCTGCCTTTACTTTTCGACCTAGCACCATCATATGTTTTGTGATCAAATCAAACCAAACGAACCCAATATATCCCACTTGAAAGTAGGGGCTAGGAGGGGTAGGATATATGCAAACCATTACTCGACCTCTAGGATCGATAGGTTATTCTGTCAAGACCCCTGACTTCTGCACGACTCAAGGTGTGTGCAAGAAGGCAATACGATAGGTAATATAACAGGTAATTAAGAAATGAAACAGGTAGAATAATGAAGCAATTGTGTGTGCACGATTCACTGGCGTGCAAGCATGCAATGTAATAGGTAAACCATGTAATGCAAGTGGAATTAATGTACATAGCAACTTAAATGTAAGAACAGACAAAACAGAGACATGAGATGTTGCATGAGACATGTAGGTATGACCGGTAAGAAAGTCAAGCAAGAACCTCTGGTGAGGTCCAATCAGTCCCAACTATCCCACAAGGAGTCCATTTGCCTAATCTCTACCCCCTTGTCATCACCCTCTACCAGATCCTACTAAAAAATCCGCGACTAAATGCCTGAAGCTGCCATGTCCATTCCTAAGTTGTTCATCCCAGGTTCTCCCGGCCTGCCTTTCATCCGTTACTCTCTCCACTCTCCTCATTGGTGCTGTCAATTGTCTGCAATCATAGGAAGAAAATATAACTCCTTTTAAGTCTTATCTTCCCGTGCCCCTTAACTTTAACCTTCTTTTTTTAACTTCTGTTCAGATCCGAGAGCTGGCTGAGAAAGAGTCGGAGAACGGTGTTTTCAAAATGCTACGCAATGATGTTACTCGGTTCTTAACAACCATACTTATTGGCACGACGTACTTTTCTGCCTTTACTTGCAATGACAATTGTCTCTTTGCAGCAATATTTCTAAGCATTTGATTGATACTGTCGGAATCTTTTTGATTTCCTTAGCGTTGTCAATATTGGAGCAACAGCACTCGTTACTGAAGCAGCAACTGCAATATTCGGTGAAGCAGGTGTCAGTGCAGCCACAGGAGTAATGACGGTATGCCTAAATCTCATTGTTTGCAATATGGTTTGAACGTTATGATTATTAATAGAAAGTCTTCCTATTGGAAGATAAAACTGTTAATTTTTTTAATCGTAATGGGTCTTTAATCTAAATAATCATCTATCTATATCAGGTTGCTGTTTTGCTACTCACGGAAATAACTCCAAAAAGTATAGCTGTTCATAATGCCACCGAGGTTGCAAGATTTGTGGTACGCTGAGAACATTCTTCTTTCTTTAAGGGGCTGTTTGGTTGTTTTTTCATTAAGTCCTGTATGTATGTCTGTGTGGATTTATTTGTCTCTATAGATCGGGAAGGTTTTTGTTTGGGATAGTTTTTTCATAGATGAAAGGATCGTGTTTTTTTATTGGGAAGGGATGGTTTGGAAGAAACTTGGATTTCTGCATAAAGCTTCCCCTTAGGAGCTTACTGAATAAACCACTTTCTATATCATTGAGCCACTACTAAATAGTCATATATATATATATATATATATCTGATTGAATAAGTTGTGAGTCCCATTAAGCTCATTAAACTGCTAACAAATAGGCCATAATATTATAATTAAGTAGTAATGAAATTTGATTGCATATATGTAGTTTGGTGTTTTGAGGAATTTACCTGATGAGTTTATTGCCATTGCCTCTAGGTCAGGCCGATTGCATGGCTTTCTTTAGTCTTATATCCTGTTGGACGAGTTGTAACGTATCTCTCAATGGGAATGCTGAAATTGCTTGGTCTGAAAGGAAGAAGGTGTGTAACTTTTTTTATAATTCAGTTTTGTTTTCCAGCTCGTGCAGGTGCAGCTATGTTTCTCCTTCATATACCCAAATGGTGACTTTTTAGTCATTTTTACTCTTCTTTTCGTATCTACAATACTAATGATTCCAATTTCTTATTTCTGCTAGTGAACCATATGTCACTGAGGATGAACTGAAATTGATGTTGAGAGGAGCTGAACTAAGTGGGGCCATTGAAGAGGAGGAACAGGTATATACCATCACCTTTTCATTATTTTATAAGAATATAAACCAAACCAAACGAACTCAATATATATCCCATCTGGAGGTGGGGTCCGGAAAGGGCAAGATGTATGCAAACCAGAAAAGTAGAGTGGCTGTTTCCATAAAGACCCCCGGCTTGTGAAATTGTTGTCAAAGATATAAAGAAATATATGATAAAGATTTGAAAAGTAGGTTAAGAGTAAGCAATAACATACAAACAAAAGCTGATGCAAGAAAAACATACCCAATAAGAAAATAGTGGTCTTTTATCTGCAAAGCAAGCATTTTTATCATTTATCGGGATAAAAGACTAATGCTTTGTGAAAAATCGTTTGCAGGATATGATTGAAAATGTTCTAGAAATAAAAGACACATACGTTCGGGAGGTTATGACACCTTTGGTTGACGTTGTAGCCAGTGATTCCAGTGCAACACTCGTCGATTTCCACTCCCTGTGGGTAACTCATCAGTATTCGAGGTATGTTATACTTTAAGTTGAGAGAGTTATATATATATATATATTATATATATATATATATATGTATATATAGGGTCAGGTTCAAGGGGAACTCTTAAAAAAATGAAAAACCGAGAAACACCCCAGTAACCGTTCATCTGGACGGTATAGTATCACATCAATAACACCTTTATCACATGTGATAATAACACATGAGGGGGATTAGTGGTGTAAGGGAGACTTGACCTGCAGCCTAGATAACCCAAAAGTTGTCCACATCTCTGGTTTAGTATCACATTTGTATCATATGTGATGGAATATAGTATCCCATATGATTGTCTATAGTAAAAAGGTGTTTTCGTTTGAACCCTTTCCTATATATATATATTCAAGTATGCTAAAAACATGGCACATATGTACAGGGTACCGGTTTTTGAGCAACGTGTTGATAATATAGTTGGTATTGCGTATGCAATGGATCTATTAGACTATGTTCAAAAGGTTAGATTTTAATAAAAAGGCTAGCTTTTTATTATTACTTTGAAGATTATCTTGTTGTATTCTATGGTTTTGTTTACTTTGTTCTGTTTTGAAGGGAGACCTACTAGAAAGTTCCACCGTGGGGGATATGGCTCATAAACCTGCATACTTTGTGCCTGGTATTTTGAGTGTTTCATGTTCCTTTTTCATCAGTTCAATCGAACGAAATATTATGGGTGTATTGTTTCTTGAGTTTGTGTGCAGCCCATAATGTTTGTTAGAAATACCACTGCAGATTCAATGTCGGTTTGGAATCTTCTTAGAGAATTTCGTATCCGGAAGGTACACATGGCTGTTGTTCTGAACGAATATGGCGGGACAGTTGGAGTACGTATGAACCCTTGTTTTGGATACTTAAAACACTTGTTCCCGAGTTTGTTTATATTTCTTTTATGCTTATTTCATGGATGCAACAGATTGTAACACTGGAAGACGTGGTTGAAGAAATTGTTGGTGAAATTTTTGATGAAAATGATTCGAAAGTGAGCTCTGATTCGTGTTTTTTATTCTATTTTGATCAAATCAGTGCTTAAAAGGGTTTTATTTCTGATTCAAATCTATGTTTGTTTATTATACAAGGAGGAAATTGAGAAAAAGACTGGGTATATTGTAATGCGAGCCGAAGGAATTTATGATGTGGACGCAAATACATCTATTGATCAGCTTTCTGAAGATCTCAACATAAAGATGCCAGAGGTATCCTAAAAATTTGTGCTTTATCAACTTAGGGGTGGTTTATTTTCTTTTCCTCTTTTCCATCAAGTCCTGTCTGAATAAATTTGTCTGTATGAGGGACGTGAGCCAGAGGACTTTGTGGGAGGCAAAGAGAGAGGTTTGGATTATTTCTGGTATTAATTTGTTTGAGGTGGCTTAAGGGGGACAAGTGAGGGGTCCTGACTTATTCCATATAACCATTTTGGCTTAATCGTTAAGAAGCCATCCATACCATTAAGCTCATTAAGCTGTAAGGGCCTGTTTGTTAGCAGCTTAATGAGCTTAATGAGATTCGCAGCTTATTCGGTTAGCTATACATGACTGTTTGGTAGTAGCTTAATGATATAGAAAGTGGCTTGTTCAGTAAGCTTCTAGGAGAGAGTTTTATGCAGAAAGCTAGTTTTTTCTAAACCTGCCCCTCCCAATTAAAAAACACGGCCCTTCCATTTATGAAAAACAAAAGCATTCACAATCTATACAAACAGCCTTATCCACAGAACATAATGGAAAACCATCCTAACAGCAGTGTCGCATTCTTATCTGTGTGTTTAACAGGGGCATCAATATGAAACGGTATCAGGGTTTGTGTGTGAGGCATTTGGATATATTCCGAAAACAGGTGAAAGTATAAAAGTGGTACTAGAGAAGGAAGAAGAGCATGAAGAGTATACGGATGATCAGGGGGATCGGCAAAATCAAAATCAGAAAGAAAAGAACCAAATATTTCAAATAGAGGTATGGTATCTTGTTTCTTTTCTTTGTACAGATTGGAAGATGGTTTGAGGGATTTGTGTATGGTGGTGTAGATTTTAGCGGGCAATGCGAGAAAAGTTGGTGCGGTGAGGTTTGAACGAGTTTCACACGAGTCGGAAAGCACGAAGGACGTGAAGAAGCTGGTTCCGAAGATCATGAAAAGGAAATATGATGATGAAAGAGGTAGGATTGGGGAAGAAGAGGAAGAGGAAGAGGAAGAGGAAGAGGAGAAACATGAAATGAGAGAGGGAGAATGAAAGGTTTTGAGATTGAATTGAAGTAGTAGGCAACTTTGTAGATGTAGAGTGGGATTTTGTTGAAAGTAATAAATAATCAAAGAGTTACAGCAGAGAGGGATTCATGCTTGTTTTCCATATACAAAGCAAAAAAGAGGCATTTTCTCTGCACTAATGACTCAGCTGACCACTGCATATATATATATATATATATATATATATATATATATATTGAGAGAGAGAGAGAGTCAAATTCATTCGAGAACAATAACCAAATAAAAGAACATGAAAACGGCAATAATCATGTGATTTTACACTAAAATCACATGTGATTCAAACAACTTTTACCATGACATGAGGTCACGGGCTGCGTTGTCCGCTCGCCTTTGCGTTGACCTATTCTATAATTGCCCATAAAATCACATTTGATTTGACTGTTTTCTTGTGTCTATTATTTTGACCATGTTCTTGTTTTATCCCGCCTCGTGTATATATATACACACACAGAGGAAGAAAGGATCATACGAGAACGTCGTCAAAAACACAAGATTGGTCAAATCACTTATGCACTAAAGTCACATGTGATCATGGAACACGATCCAACTTAAGGGTGTGTAGGCGACTTGGCTTGTAACTTATATCGTATCTAATTATATGTGATTTGGTCATTCTCGTGTTTTTTTATTTTGTTATTGTTTTCGTTTGAACTTGATTTATATATATATATATATATATATATCATTTAAATTAGAATTAATTTTTTTTTTCATTTCTAATTGTAAGATGTATGATTGAAAATGAAAATTGAGAAATTGGTTCATACAATATGGAAGTAATTAATTTGTGTTTAATGTATTCACGTTCTCACAACACAACAAAACGTTGCTATTTCACTAATCAATCATCAACGGTGACGATCAAATAGATTAGAGACACATGCAGCAACTTCAATGGCTCCATCTATTAACTTATAAACTTATAAAATAGTGTGTGTGTGTATATATATATATATATATATATACATAGTGGGAGAGAGAGAGAGAGACACGTGTGTCCTTGACAATATTTAAGAAGGAAAACATAAATATAATAATAATAATAATAATATGATAAAAAGTAAAAGACCTTCACTTCCTTCTGAATCCCAAATCCCAAGGAGAGAAAAGAATCATACCGACCTTTTTTAACACAATCCCCACAGAACTTGGAACTGCAATGGAGGTATCCCATCGAGATATCGGGGGCGATAACGGTCTTCGACAACCGCTCTTAACCGACACTTCTAAACCTTCCGCAAACAAAGCAAGAGAATCAAGTTCCCCCGAAACTCTAACCCCTTATGCAAACTCTACCCTTTTTAGCCTTCTCACTTTCTCTTGGTTGAGCCCAATGGTTGCCATCGGTCACAAGAAGCCATTAGACCTCGAAGACGTTCCTCAGCTCTCGGGTGTTGATAGCGTAGTCGGATCTTTCCCCATTTTAAAACACAAGTTGGATCCTGATCACTTTAACGGTAAGAAACTCACAACTTCCGAGCTCGTGATCGCTTTGATCCATACCACACAGAAAGACATCCTAATTACAGCAATTCTTGCCCTTCTTTACACATTGGCTTCTTACGTTGGTCCTTATCTCATAGATTCATTTGTTCGATTTCTTAACGGAACCCAAGATTCGAATAAGTACCAAGGTTATCTCTTTGTTCTTGTGTTCTTTCTTGCCAAAGTTGTGGAGTCTGTATCACAGAGACACTGGTTCTTCAAGCTGCAACAAGGCGGAATTCGGGCCAGGGCAGCTCTTGTTGCGATGATTTACGAAAAGGGTTTGACCGTTTCTAGTCGGTCAAAGCTCAGTAGTTCCAGTGGCGAGATTACCAACCTTATAGCCATTGATGCTGAAAGAATCGGTGAGTTTGGCTGGTACATACATGATCCATGGCTAGTAATCGTGCAGGTGGGTTTAGCGTTAGGAATTTTATATCTGAATCTTGGGTTTGCTTCACTTGCTGCATTAGTAGCCATTGTTATCGTGATGTTGCCTAATATTCCGTTAGGAAGTGTACAGCAGAAGTTTCAAGAGGAGTTAATGACATGTAAAGATAAGAGAATGAAAAAAACATCGGAAATCTTGAGGAATATGAAGATTCTTAAACTTCTGGCATCGGAGATGAAGTTTTTGTCCAGAATTATCGAGCTTCGAAATCTTGAAACCGGATGGTTGAAAAAGTACCTGGTTACTTCAGCCACGATCGTGTCGGTATTCTGGGTTGCGCCTACTTTCGTAGCTGTGGTCACTTTCGGAACATGTATGCTTGCCGGGATTCCGCTTGAATCCGGGAAGATATTATCTGCAGTTGCAACGTTTAAAATACTTCAACAACCGATTTACAATCTTCCTGATACAGTTGCAATGATAGCACAAACTAAAGTCTCGTTAGATCGTATAATCTCATACCTTAATCTCGATGACTTAGATTCTGGTCTTGTAGAGATGCTGCCACGAGGTTGTTCTGATGTTGCAATCGAGATAACGAATGCTACCTTTTCGTGGGATGTTTCATCTGCGGATCAAGTATTGAAAGATATAAACATCAAAGTTGATCATGGGATGAAGGTTGCTGTTTGTGGGACCGTTGGATCAGGGAAATCTAGTTTTCTTTCGTGTATCCTTGGTGAAGTGGCTAAAGTATCAGGAAGTATTAAGCTCAGTGGTACCACAGCTTATGTGGCTCAGTCTCCATGGATACAGAGCGGAAAAATAGAAGAGAACATCTTATTTGGTAAAGAGATGGACAAAATAAGGTACGATAAGGTTCTTGAAGTATGCGCGTTGAAGAAAGACCTTGAAATTCTGCCGTTTGGTGATCAAACGGTTATTGGAGAGAGGGGAATCAATTTGAGTGGCGGGCAGAAGCAGAGATTACAGATTGCTCGTGCTTTATATCAAGATTCAGACATCTATCTCTTTGATGATCCGTTCAGTGCAGTTGATGCTCATACCGGAAGCCATCTCTTTAAAGTGAGAAATGCCATTATCGCTCTTTTCTTCCTGAACAACTTAATTTTGTTCTAAATTAATGACTTAGAGCCTGTTTGTTAGTAGCTTAAGTCTCTTCTAAATTAATGACTCATAGCTTATTCGGTCAGCTATACATGACTGTTTGATAGTGGCTTAAGTTAATGATACAAAAAGTGGCTTATTCAGTAAGCTTCTAGGGGGGAGCTTTATAGCCAAAAAATTTCCAAACTTGTCTCTCCCAATTAAAAACATGCTCCTTCCATCTAAGAAAAAACCTCCAAATAAAAATCTTCCCAATCTATACAGCCAGAATAATGCACACAGACATCTATATCCATACAGGACTAAGGAGCTGTTTGGTGGGCCTTCCATTAAGTCGTGTATGGGTAAAGCTGTTTGTATAGATGGAGAAATTTTTTGTTTGGGAGGGTTTCTCATATATGGAAATAGCGTGTTCTTTAATTGGGAGGGGCAGGTTTGGAAAAAAAAACTTGGCTTTCTGCATAAAAATCCCCCCCTATAAGCTTACTGAGACTCGCAGCTTATTCGGTCAACTATAATGATTGTTCGGTAGTGGCTTAATAATATAGGAAGTGACTTATTCGGTAAACTTCTAGGGGGAGCTTTATGCGGAAAGCCAGGTTTTTTTCCAAGCTCGTCCCTTCCAATTAAAAACATGCTTCTTCCATTTATGCCTCTAAAACAAAAACCTTTTCAATCTATACATACAGATTGATCCACAAAAACAGTTTTATCCATGCAGGTCTTAATGGAAAACCAACCAAACAGCCACCTTAGCCACTTTCTATATCATTAAGCCACTACCAAACAGTCATGTATTGCTTATTGAATAAGCTGTGAGTCTCATTAAGATCATTAAGCTGCTAACAAACATGTCCTAAATGGAAAACCAACCAAACAATCCCTTAGCTAAAGTAGCATATCAGTCATGGATATGATGGAAGTCTTCCTCCTTCAAAACCTAATACTCATGATAAGAAAATCTAAAATTTACCTGTATAGAAGTTTACTTGGGAACTATCTTTTACATAAACTTCATATGACAGGAATGTTTACTGGGATTTCTGGACTCAAAAACAGTTATTTACATCACCCATCAAGTTGAGTTCTTGCCGGCTGCTGATCTTATCCTGGTAAGCTATCGGGATCATATTAATCTATTCATTTGTCCATACAAGCGCTATGCATCTAAGTCCTATATGTATTGAACTTCCAATAAGGTCTTAAAAGCTGGAAGGATCAAACAAGCTGGAAAGTATAAAGACATTCTCAATTCAGGAAGCGACTTTATGGAACTCGTTGGTGCACATAAAGAAGCTTTATCGGTAATTGATTCTATAAACACAAGCTTTGAATACGAAAACCCACAAGTTACGGATGAAGATAGAAATGAGTTTAAATCAGAAAAAACAGAAGGGACTAACAGACAGCTTGTTCAGAAAGAGGAAAGGGAAAAGGGGAGTGTTGGTCTTTCTATATACTGGAGATACATTACAAGTGCTTATAAAGGGGCACTTGTGCCCTTTATATTGCTAACAGCAGTTCTATTTGAGCTTATTCAAGTGGCAAGCAATTACTGGTTGGCTTGGGCATCACCCGTTTCAGACGGGATGGTGCCTCCGGTTGGAGGGTCTACACTCATAATCGTTTATGTAGGTTTGGCAATTGGAAGCACTTTTTGCATATTTGGTAGAGCGATGTGGCTTACAATTGCTGGCTATGTGACGGCCAAGCTACTCTTCAATAAAATGCATTTATGCATTTTTCATGCTCCTATGTCTTTCTTTGATGCTACCCCAAGTGGGCGAATTCTAAATAGAGTAAGTCAATAGTTTCTTTGTGTTCCATTGAATGGTAAAGATGAACCTTTTAAGCCAAAGTTGGCTTAACTTTCCAACTGTTGTCTAATCCTACAGGCATCCACAGATCAAACTGCGGTGGACGTGACAATTCCAAATGCCATTGGTGTTTTTGTGTTTGCAGTTATACAGCTTCTTGCTGTTATTGCAATCATGTCTCAGATTTCTTGGCAGGTGTTTCTGGTTTTCGTTCCAGTCATTGCTATTTGTATATGGTTACAGGTACCCACTTGATAGGTCATGTTCAGGGGAAAACCGCGAAGAAATGAAAAACTGAGGAACACCTTGGTAACCGTTCATGTACATACCATCAAGATGAATAGTATCAGGGTGTTCCTCAGATTATCATATTTTTGAGGGTTTACTCCTAAACCTCCCTCCCCGCTTCATAATCCTTTTCTAACTGTGAATCTGAGGATTTCTATAAATCTTCATACATGGCTGCTAATTCTAATTCTACTTCTGAATTTGTTTTTGCTAGCAATATTACATCTCTACAGCACGAGAGTTAGCAAGACTAGTTGGTGTGTGCAAAGCCCCCATAATACAACATTTCACCGAAACAGTGTCGGGTTCAACAACCATCAGGAGTTTTCGTCAAGAAGACAGATTTCAAGACACGAATATGAAACTCCTTGATGGATATTCCCGACCAAATTTTCACAGTGCTGCTGCTAGAGAGTGGCTATCATTTCGGGTGGAGTTATTGGCCTCTGTTACTTTTGCTTTTTTCCTAATTTTTTTGCTCATTATTCCAAATGGGACCATCGATCCAAGTAAGTGATTCTTATGAATCCTTTTATATATACATAGGGAAAAGATCCAAGTGATTCTTAGGCCTAGGGGAACATTTAATGATCAAGATTTCTTTATCAATCATAAAGGCATTGCGGGGTTAGCAGTAACATATGGGCTTAATTTGAACATCCTACAAGCTTCGGTAATATGGAAACTAAGCAACATGGAGAATAGCATTATTTCAGTTGAAAGAATATTTCAGTACATGTCTATCCCAAGCGAGGGACCTCTTGTTGTGGAATCAAGTAGGCCAAGCGATATGTGGCCATCACATGGAAAAATAGATATCTGCAACCTTCAGGTAATGAATTCCACCTTCATAACTTAGGGCCTTTTCAGTCGGTTGTCAATTAAGTCTTGTATGGATAAAGTTGTCTGTGTCGATTAATCTGTCTGTAAAGATTGGAGAAATAATTTGTTTGTAAGAGTTTTTTCATAGATATAATGAGTGTGCTCTTTAATTGAGGGGCATGTTTGGAAAAAAACTTGCATTTATGCATAAAAATCCCCCTAAAAGCTTACTGAATAAAACCACAAGGGTTTGTGGTATAGTGGTTGAGGCTCTGGGGGTGTGGTGGAATATCTCATCTGCCCATGATTCGATTCCAGGTGTATGCATACACAATAACTGTGAGCCACTGAGTTTATCAATGTTGATTTCTTGCGGTCACAATTTTCCAAGACTAGTCTAGACATAGTCCAGGACACCCTTCCAAAAAAAAGCTTACTGAATAAGCCACTTTCTATACCATTAAGCCACTAAGAAAAAGTCATGTATAACTGACCGAATAAACTCATTAAGCTGCTAATAAACAGGCCCTTAGTAGTGTAGTTGTGTATGTAGGTACGGTATGCTTCACACATGCCACTTGTGTTAAGAGGACTTACCTGCACTTTTCATGGTGGCAAGAAGACTGGAATTGTAGGGAGAACAGGAAGTGGTAAATCAACTCTTATACAAACACTCTTTCGCATTATTGAACCAACTATGGGAGCAATTTTCATAGATGAGATCAATATATCCACAATTGGACTTCATGATTTACGGTCAAAATTGAGCATAATCCCTCAAGATCCAACCATGTTCCAAGGAACTGTAAGAAGCAATATGGATCCACTTGAACAGTACACTGATGAACAGATTTGGGAGGTAGGCCGGATAACTTATAAATCTATGTAGCTTCCTAAATGATAAATGTTGCTTCTTATTGCCTTTATTCTCACTTTTTAGGCTCTAGATAAGTGCCAACTTGGAAATGAAGTTAGAAGGAAGGAAGGCAAGCTTGATTCGGCAGGTTTTTGTCAAACTTGAACACAGAAATTTCCAATACCCATATGAGAATTATATCTAGTGTTGGTTCCGGTGAGAATGGAAGTTATGGTGAGAAGGGATCTCCACCCTTGGATCAATCGTAATTGAAGATAACCACTAGATCAATTCCCTTCTAAAGCGTAATTCATGGGTTGTTTTGGGATTAGAAGTGAACAAGGGTCCAAATCCCTTCTTACACTTCACCTTAACTCCTATTCTCACACGATCCTTCTTCGTCTTCTTATCTATTTGCATTCATAAAATTGGGGCAGTTGATGAGAATGGAGAGAATTGGAGCATGGGTCAAAGACAACTGGTCTGTCTTGGGCGAGTGTTACTCAAGAAAAGCAAGATCTTGGTGCTTGATGAAGCTACTGCATCGGTGGATACATCAACCGACTATATGATACAACAAACACTTGGGCAGCACTTCTCTGACTCAACTATCATCACTATTGCACATCGGATCACATCGATGCTCAACGGTCACATGGTTCTAGTCTTGGAACAAGGTTTGATGAACCCACCTCATTTTAATCCTTAAAAGTTGTTCATCTACTATCTTAAAATCTTTAATTTTGTATTGCAGGACTCATTGAGGAATATAATTCACCATTAAAGTTGTTGGAAAACAAATCTTCTTCCTTTGCAAAGCTTGTTGCTGAGTACCGTGGGAGATCTAGTTCGAGCTATGGAACCTAGAATTGCTGTTATTCGCGGGTATTATGGTCAATAAGTCAATTGTATTAGGCTATGGTACAAGTCTTGGATACAAATATGTGAAGCAGGGTAGTGGGTCGGTTACTTGGTATAAATAAGAGGGTTTTGGAGGGGAGAAAGGCATCGATCATTCTATTGAGTTTGAGATTGGCGAAAGCCTCTGAGAGACCTCCAACTTCTCGAATCGTTGAAACCCTTTGTTCAATAATTTGATTTCAGTTGTAATTCCATGTTGAAGTCATCATTGTGTACCAATTTCATTGTTAATTGCTCTGATACCAACTGATACAACCTGAGAAATTAACAATAAAATTGGTACACAATGATGACTTCAATATGCAATTAGAATTGAAATCAAAGGATTGAACATGTTCCAGCAATTCGAGATGCTGGAGGTCTCCCAAAGGCTTTCGCCAATCTCAAACTCCATTGAATAATCACAACCCTCCTCCCCTCCAAAACCCTCTTATTGATACCAAGTAACCGACCCTCTACCCTGCTTCACCTACTTGTACCCGACAGTAAACACTTGTACTATAGCCTACTACAATTGACTTATTGATTATAATACCCAGAGTATAACAAACTCCAACACTAAAATGATTCTAGAGTGTGAGATCAGCTTCTAGTTATGAAAAATTATGTAACCTACCCATGAATCATGATTCATAGAAAAGGCTTAGAACCCAGATGATTTTGTGGATGTTACACATTTCTAATTTCAAAAATCCACAAAAAGAAACTACAGTGACATTAGCATGGTGTGAACTTAAAAGTAATTACAGACCAGGATTCCAAGTTAACTCGTCAAGAGTCATCTGTCTCACTGAAGCAGCCATACGTAATTCTCCCCCACGTATCTGCCCCACCCTCTCCATCATGCTCAGGAACAAAGGATGATCCACTGCACCCAACATTCTATCGCGAAATAACACGTCCTCGTAAAAGTTAACAAGCGCCTGAGCAGCATTACCTCTGAGTTCCTCCGACTCATCTTCTAACATGCTAATCAAAAGAGAAATCCCCCCCAAACTAGCAATCAAATCCCTCTCAGCATCGTTGTAACTCAACTGCGCAATCACCCCACAAACGTTCTCCCTAACATTAGTATCCTCACTACTTCTCAAAAGCTCCACCAAAAGCAGGATCGCACCAGACCTATGAATAATAGGCAATACATGCTTATAACTTGAAAGATCCCACAAAACATCCGCAGCTGCTGCTATGCTTCCGTTATCATTTCCTCTCAAAATCGTCACCAAATGTTCAACAATTGTGATGGCATTAGTATCCGTAACAGCTAAAATGCAAAACACATCCTCTGCAATCTCCCTCCCCAATGGCTCCTGTTCTTGAAGAAGCTCGGCATATAAAGGAATGACCCCATGTTCAGCAACAGGTCTGATATACTCAACATGTGACGATATTACCCCCAAGGCATTACCAGCAACTATCTTTGTTGAGGTGTTGCCATTTCGAAGCAAATCAACAAGAACCTCTATGGCACCCGCATTAACAAGATCACGTCTTGCTCTTTTAACCAGCCCAAGTAACCCAATCGCCTGAGCAGCTCTAGTCCTAGAAGCCATATTCCCGACTTTACCTGATTCAACAAGTAAACGAACCACCCGCAAATTGTAAATGGACCGTCTAACCTCTCTTAAAAGAGCAAGTGCACTCAAAATATCCAAGAAGAGAGGTCTCAAAACGTCAGGACAAGAATTTAACATATCAATGATGACTTTCAACCCACCAATTCTCACTACATTAACCCGATTAGGACCATCAAATGCTACAAGATTTCGAAGGCACTTCAGAAGAACTTTTTGTAAACCAACTTCAGATTGAGGTAAAAGGCAGAGGATGCGATGAATGGCCCCAGATTGGCCTATGCTTACCGCCAGCCTTCCGTCCCCTTGACAAGAAATGCACTTCAAACAGTATGCAGAGGCTTTCAAGATAGCATCATTTGTAGTTTCGGATGACGTGTCGAGATGCTCCACTAAGATTGGCACGGTGCATATCAATATTCTCTCAGGAGCACGGTTAGACAAGCGAGAAAGCTTAATTATAGCCTGCACTTGCAAAGCGTCACTCCCGGTTGCAATCAGGTTCTCGAAATGATGCAATGCTAGCTCCCAATTAGTGTTCTCTTGTGTTTGTGTTCCCTCTGAAAGTGATTGATCCATCTGTAACACTTGAGAATGTTAAGAAGAAAAAAATAAAGGGTGTCAAAAACAAAGCAAAATAAAGAACAGATGAATCACATATTTTGATCAAATCTAGGCATTCTAACATAAGCCCACAAGTTGGATCAAATGTCCGCAAAGCCGTACGATGTGTTTTTAGCCGAATTCCGTCTTTGGGGAATTTTTTAAGGTTTTTTGTTGATTTCCCCACGGTTTTTTAAGTTTTTTGGTTGATTTCGGGAGAATGTTTCTGTTTTTTGGTTGAATTCGAGATATTTTTCTGGTTTTTTGGTAAGACTAATATAAAAACTTAAAACAAACAAATAAATCATGGAAACAAATCAATGAAATCATGTTAAACGTAATCGTATAACATTATAACTAATCAATTTAGAGTAAAGACTAAAATCAAACTTTAGGGCAAAAGACAAATATCAAATTTAGGGCACAAATAAATCGTGTGAACAAATCAACAAAGTCAGGTTAAACATAATTACATAACATTATAACTAGGCAAAGAATAAAATCAAATTTAGGGTTTGATTCAACGATATACAACAGTAATTGAACAGGAACCCATGGTTGATAAAACTTCAGATAGTAGTGTTCAATATCCTATTCCAATGGATTTTACAGATAAAAAGATAACCAAAAAGATTTATGCTTGCATCATTATGTAAGATAAGAGGAATTTGATGATCGATTGCTCCTTCCGTTCCATTAAACAGTTCGATTTTTATGGTGTCAAACTTTGCAGTTGTCAAAATTGAAGTCCATTGATCCGGTGATTCTTTATATCTTGTGTGAGTGAGACACGGAAACTATTGATTAGGGCAAAACCGATGATCATGTAACGGAAGAAGCAGAAACATTGGAATTTTGCATAGAAAGAAATGAATTTAAGAACCCTAAAAGAATGGAAGGGACCAACCAGTTCTTAGAGAAATGGGAAACTCCGTTAGTTACAATCTTCTGTTCTCCAATTCATTGTTGATCATGGAAGCTTTCTGGGAACAGCCGAATAATGGAAATACCGGCGACTGAGGTCAGATTCTCCCAAACGTATCCAATTGCTTTCATGGATGGTTGGATTGCTGATATAAATCAAGTTACATTTGTTTGTCTTGATGGTTACATTTTGCTAAATCATTAATTAAGAGGTAGAATCTTGTTCCGAAAAAAATAAAAGTCTTTTTTAAAACTTTATGAATGATTTTGTATCATATGTCTTTTTTAACCATTAAATGTTCTAATTTCATTGTAAGTAATTATATTTTATTTTGCATTATATCATAGGAGTCTTTTAATCATTCTGACTAATCATTCAGCACCAAACCATTCAGCAACTGGCAAACAGTCTCTCTTTTTTAAGTGATTACCGATGTTAAATCGGAGCTCTATAAAAAATATTTAGATTAGCTTATAACGGTAACAAAATATAATAAGTTGATGATATCATGTTTGAATAAGGTAATAAGTTAAAAGACAGTAATGTATCAAAAACTCTTTATTATCAGTGCCAAACCAGTATAAGTATTCATCTTCTTTCCATCCAAACACTAAAAACTCCTTATTACTGGTACCACACCGGAATAAGTTAATAAACAATTTAAATAACCAATCCCAAACACCCCCTCAATCTTCATCCTCTACCTTATAACGAACTGAATACATATCTATTAGTTTGACTTTTGTATTGACGGTCCTCACAATTTTGATTTTATTGATTCTGAATTCCATTACTCAACATATATACATCAAGACACCCTTGAAAAACATCATCACTACCATCGTTCAAACTTTGTATGATAGGCAGCCAACGGTGGTGATGAGGATGGCAGTAGTCGGCTGGAGACGGAAGGGTACGACAGTAGGCGTGAGCAAGTGGAATAAGAGATGGAAAGAAATAGGGAGAGAACACGTGACGACAATGACAACGAGAGTAGCGATCAGAGGAGATCGACATGGAAAAGAAACAGAGAGGAAGATTCTCACACGATGGATAGGGATAAGAAAATATCAGGCGTGCATTTTCATTTTTTTTTTGTTTTGAGTAAAAGCAATAAATGACCGAAATGCCCCTTAGTTAACAAATGAACTTAACGTCTGTGAGAGCTAGGTACCATCCGTGAAAGCAAATTGAAACCTTGGGGAATTTTCGTTGTTTATGGTGTTTCATAGGTTTAAATGAAAGCGAAATAAATTACAGTGATAATAGTAAATTGTATCTTAATAGAACGCTTAAAATATGGTTATTGAAAATTCTGGATTGGACCTATTAAACAATATAATTACATGTATGATGATTATGGTTTCAGTTTTATTATGGATTGGATCCCTTGTTCTAACTCTACTAATTAACTTACTGGAAGTGTCTTCAAACCAGCATCTTCTGTTTTAAGATGATTTGGGTAAATGAACAAGGGTAAATCTGTCCTTGTCACCACTGATGGGAGGACGATGATTTTTGTTGCAGCAGACGAATGGTGGAGGAAACAAGGCAAGTCGATATTAATCGAAGAACTTAAAAAATTCGGTGGCGATGGAAGAGATCTGCAGAAGATGCTTGATAAAAGGAAAAGGGAAGGGGGTACACTATGAGCCGTAAGTCAAACATATATCTATAGATATACAATATTTATATGTTTTTAATAGAAAAAATAAATAAAAAGACCAAAATATCCTTTTTTAACGGAGTTAAGTTAACAACGTTAGGACATAGGAACTCGATCCATAACAAAAATGAAACCACAGGGACTATATATAATTATTTTTGTATGAGGGACCCAATCCAAAGTTTCATACAACCTCAGGGACGAAATTTGTAATTCACCTCATAATAAAATAATTATGACTTATTGAGGGTCGGGTTTGGGTTGAACCGTGTGGACCGTCAAAACACGCTCGACTTTTCTTTGTTATTTCCCTCACGTGCTCTCATTATTATTATTATTTCATCACTATTTACTTAAAAAGGCAATTTACATAAATAGCCCACATCCTTTGTCTCATTTATGTAAAAGGGTATTTTTGTCTTTTAGTCTTTCATATTTAAGTACGATTTGATCTGTTTTCGATCTTTGTAATTTTTCTTATGGAAGTGTTATATCGTCTAATGAACGTATGTCGGTGGAATTTTCGTGTATCGAGAGAAACAATATGTAATCACTTGGATAAACTTGAAACCGTGTAGAGCTCATTTTTCTTAAGTTATGTTTCAGTTTAAATCTATCAGGGTATCACAAAATTAACTCGATGATACAGTCTCGGTTTTGACGGAAATTGGAATCTTTTAAATCTAGAGAATCATAATCAATTGTGTACTAACTCATTAGAGTTAAATACCCCCCTTACTGGTCAGAGATAAACCCACCAGTTGATCCACATCAGTAGGTAATCCATCAGTTTATGACCTAATCAAATGGAAACACTAGTTGAGGTATTTTTGTTACAGCCACTGATAAACCATCACCAACAACCACCTGAAAACTGTAGTGACAAATCACCTGACACTTTTATCAGTGGGACCACCACCAGGGATACGACCCTCTTGACCCTGGTCATAAAACGTCAGCCAATGTCTCGTATTCTAGATAACTTAAAAGACTGTATATCACATATCGAAACAAGTATATAAAAATAGAAAGAGATTAAACAAAATCGACAAGAAGCATCTCCAAAGAATAACAAAGAAAGCATATAATATATTTTAGACCACTAACCACATGCAAATGCAAGTGCAATACTTGTATTTTAATTCTAACTTTAGAGTAAATTATGAACTTGGTCCTTGTAGTTATTTGATTTTGTTGGTTTTGGTCCCTACAACTTGTTTATTACCAGAAAAATCGTATGTTATACATTTTCACTTGGTTTTGATTCATGTCCACTAACTCTGTCAAATCTTGTCTATTAGTCGTAGTCACATGTAGGGGTATTCAAAAACCCAATCCGAAACAACCCGATGTCTAATCGAGTTGTAAAATTTTCAAAACGTAGGTATTGGGTGGATATTATTTGAACCCAACCCAACCCGATGAATCCGATATCAATTTATTTCTTGGATTTAATATGATTGTTGAATTTATATTAATATATACATTAGATAATTACACTACCACGTATGCTCTTCATATACATATACTTTCAATCTATTCACATATCTATATAACTCATTATATATATGTTCAGTAACTGTGAACATATATATGTAAATTGAAAAAATTAACTGAATGTGATATACGTAAGAAGAGTGGATAAATTGTATCAAATGGTTGATGACAACAAAGAAATTATGAATAGAGAAATAACATATTCAATGATAGAAAAATATTTTAATGTATCAAAGTATCAACCCGACTAACCTATACGGTTTGGGTTCGGTTGGGTTGCACTTTGGTTTGGGCTGGGTTAAGATTTTTCAAACCATAAGCATTAGGTTGAGTTGTTCAAATGTCTTTAACCTGATCAACCTAACCTATGAACACCCCTAGTCACATGCCCATTAGATGAGGTGCAAAAATGGTCCTTTTAACAGGTTCCTTGTTAAAAGATAACAAAATTGATTCCATACATGTCAAGAACATATGAAAATCCTAAATGAAATTGTAGAATCATAAAACAAAAACAATATCATCAAGAACATATGAACATCAAACCTAAGGGCTTTTGGCCTAGCGATATCTGAGCATCTTGCCTCCTAGGAGGTCAGAAGTTCAAACCTCACCAATAGTGAAGAGTGTGTGTGAGTTTATTTGTTTCATTTGACGTATATAATATATGAACATAAAAACAATCTCACCAACATATGAACATAAACAACAGATGTATACAAAGTCATTGGAAAAAATTGTGATACAAAAGAATGTAAGATTAAAACCCTAAATTAAGAGAGGATCCCAAAAATAAAAACCCTAAACTCTGAATCAAACCTAAGTCATTCAACCAGTAACCCCCCCCCCCTGCTTCTCTCTGCTAAGATTAAGCTTGATTCCTCAACGATTTTCAAGGTTCAAGTCATCTTCATCTTCAACCCAGATGGACCACTCCACGTTGCAAATGCACAAAACAATGATGGAGATGCAAATACATATGCAAAAGTATGGCGATAGGACAACAGAAAAGAAAAGAAGAAGAACAAGAACATACCTTTACCATGGATTAAAACACGAAACCTGAATCGAACGGTAAGAACGTTGAAGCAAAATGATTAAAGACAGAGCCCAACAAGAAAGGGGGGTTAATTGTGGAGGACCGTGTTAGGTAACCCCTTTGGCCTTGTGTGATGTTTTTTAAAGTTGCATTTGTTATCCAAAAAGGACATTACAAAACATGATATGACATGACAAAACAACCATTCACATTTGGTACCATAGGAGGGTTCTTTTTGGAAATAAATGAATTATAGGGACCAAAACCATAAAATCTAAAGATAATAAGGACTAAACCTGTAATTTACTCATAATTTTAAAAAGGTAGTGGTTCTCTGAACCACATGCTTGCTCTCGTCTTCACTGCGTGGACCGTGGATGCAGAACCAACCTTCCTTCCTTCCTTCTTCCACTCCAGTCTCAAGATGCATACTCACATACACCGCGTTAGCTGACCTCCATTGATGCCTATATATATACCTTCATCTTTCGGATTATGTTGTCGATCACTTCCATCTCAACTTTCAGCAACAAAAGGTAATCATTTCTCAGTTCACAGTTCAATATTTCGTCGACTTAATGATCTAAGTTTCAACACCTTTTTGTAATTAGGGATTCATGGCCAAATGAGTCGTTTAGCTTCTACAAAATAGGAGTATTTCAATTTCTTCTTCACGTATGTTAAATTTCCTAATTAGGGTTTCGGTTTACAGTTTTAAGTAGTCTCGGTTTGAATTTTGATTTTTTGATGCCTATAGGTTTTTTTTGGCAGTGGTTGTTGTCTACAAGATCCTGATTGAATTGATGTTTACCAGTTTTGATCGATTTCTGATTAAGCATTTAGGTTAGGTCAATAGCGTTATGATGTTCTTATTGTCTAGTGATCTGCCTTTCTGTACCTAAATTAGAAGAAAACCCTACAAATTGGATGTTAATTATTGACTCATGGTGACCTTCTCCACTTCTGTGCAGTTATGAATCGATTCACATCTGAATAGCTGGATTCTGGAGCTACTGTTTTCCTAAATCATAAACTGATCAGTAAGCATTATGCAGGCATCCAACCAGCCTTATTACTAACCCTAATCAACACCATGGATCAGAATCTACGGTTTTCTGTTCATACGCTAGAGACTGCTGACAATTCATCTTCTTCAGTTGGTTTCTCCCCAAGTGGCAGTCCCGTTTCGCTTCAAGATTCTCACTCGTTCCAACCAGGCCTGTATCATTCCCCTGATCAGACTTACACCTCTCACATAAATCCGGCTGCAGGCAATGTGGATGAGTTGGAGTTGAGGCTGAGAGAATTAGAAGCGGCTATGTTGGGAAGCGATCAAGATTTTGAAGAGTTTGATGTTTCATCTTCGTGGGATGGGTATGGACCGGAGGATATAAATCAAGAAAACGATGAATTTAGAATAATGGAAGAGTTGACTTCTAGAGGAGACCTGAAACAAGCCCTTCTTGCTTGTGCTAAAGCCATAGCTGAAAACAAGTTAACAACTGCTGAACAGGAACAGCTTATATCAATGGCACGTCCATTGGTGTCGGTATCCGGTGAGCCTGCACAGAGATTAGGAGCTTACATGTTGGAAGGGCTTGCAGCAAGAATATATGAATCAGGTAGCATTATCTACAAAACCCTAAAGTGCAAAGAGCCAACTAGTGGTGAGCTTCTATCTTATATGCTTTTGCTCTATGAAGCCTGTCCCTATTTCAAGTTTGGTTACTTGTCGGCAAATGGAGCCATTGCTGAAGCCACAAAAAACGAAGATAGAATCCATATAGTCGATTTCCAGATAGCACAGGGCGGTCAATGGGTAACTCTCATCCAGGCTCTTGCGGCTCGGCCTGGTGGGCCCCCGAAGCTACGCATCACTGGTATCGATGATCCCAGAAACAATTACGCTAGAGGTGGAGGGCTGAATATCGTTGGGCGGAGACTAGAGATGCTAGCTGAATCTTGTAAAGTTCCCTTTGAATTCCATGGTGTGCCTGTTTCTGGTTCCGACATTCAGATTGAACATCTTGGGGTTCGGCCAGGGGAGGCGTTGGCTGTTAATTGCGCGTTTGTGCTGCATCATATGCCAGATGAGAGTGTGGATCCCCGGAATCATAGGGACAGATTGTTGAGGCTGATCAAGAGTCTGTCTCCAAAAGTTGTGACTCTTGTGGAACAAGAAGCCAATGTGAACACAGCACTATTCTTTCACAGGTTTCAAGAGGCGTTCAGCTACTATTCAGCTATGTTCGAATCGATTGATGCGACTCTAGAAAGGGATCATAGAGAGCGAATCAATATCGAGAAACATTGTCTAGCTGGTGAGATAGTTAATATAATAGCGTGTGAAGGGACCGAAAGGGAGGAAAGACATGAGCTTCTTGGGAAGTGGAAGACGCGGTTTAGAATGGCTGGATTCAGTCCGTACCCTCTAAGCTCGTACGTGAATGCCACCATTAAGACGCTGCTCGAGAACTACTGCGATAGATATAGACTCCAAGAACGAGATGGGGCTCTGTTTCTTGGATGGATGAACCGAGATTTGGTCTCATCCTGTGCATGGAAATGAATGAATTTACAGCCCACCACCCAAAGTCGGTAACTTTTAGATCTAATATGCTGTAAGACGAAGTATCGTGTGAGAATTGGAGTTAAGGTGTGAAGCGTAAAAAGGGATCTCATCCTCACCCATGATTGTGCTTGATACGGAAACTGATCCAGTGCATCTCGGTGCATCTCATTATTGTTGATCTTTAATTGGGTTTGATTCAAGGGTGGAGATCGTTTTTTACCCTTCTCACCACACAACTTCCATTCTCGTGAAAACCCAACCTTATTCTGTAAACAATGTGTAATATGTCTTGTAGTCAAATTTCATCTTACTATATCTGCACTGTAAAATTACATTATGTGGTAATAAAAGGCTCATTTCTTGCAGTGATTGAGAACTTTCAGATATTAGAATGATGGATTACATCATAGCCTGAATTATGGTACAATCATATCTAGATGACATGATAAATGTTTGTTTGTTAGCAGCTTAATGAGTTTGATAGGACTCGCAACTTATCGGTCGGTGAATGTTTGGTAGTCGCTTAGTATTATAGAATTATTCAGTAAGCTTTTTAAGAGTAAGGGGGAGATTTGTGTAGAAAACCATTTTTTTTTCCAAATCTACCCCTTAATTAAAAAACATGTTCCTTTCATTTATGAAAATATCATCTCAAACAAAAACCTTTACAATCAATACAAAATTGATCAACACATACAACTTTATTTATACAAGACTTAGAGTATGTTTATTAGTAGCTTAATGAGCTTAATGGGACTCAACCTATTCGATTAGTAGTGGCTTAATGATATAAAAAATAATTTATTCAATAAGCTTATATGGTGGAACTTTATACAAAAAGCTAAGTTTTTCCCAAACTTGTCTTTTTGAATTAAAGAACATGCTCATTTCATCTATAAAAAAACTCTCCCAAACAAAATCTTTCCAATTTATACAAACAGGTTAATCCACACAAACAATTTTATCCATACAACACTTGATGAAAAAACCAAACAGCCCTCAGTGACAAAACCACCACTTAACTTCTACAATACAACAAGAATATATACATAGATTGATATGTAGATGTGTTCTGCTGGAAAGCCACTTAATGGTTAAGAGCTCCATTTCCCATTGCCTACACAGCCACAGGTTACAAACAGTCAAACACCAATTAACAGAACCTAACAGAACCTTTAGAAAGAGCCATTGAAAGAATAAATGGAACAAATACATGTTTTTATCAATTTCTTGATACAACTGTTACGGTCCCAAGAGTACGCTCCCAAGGTGTTGGGGATATGAATTAGAACGGTTTAGATTTGAAATATCGTAGGTATGGGCTTCAACGTCATTCTCCCTAGATCGATAGACATGCATGTTACCATTAACACCACCATAGCATGCCAATTGAGCTTTATTGTAATCTGAATTCAGACATTGTGGCTGTTCAGATAAGCTATTGCCAACTACAAGATCAAGGCATACAGCACCATTGTCATCCGATCTAGTTCTTAGATTCCCATTCCCGGCTGCTGAACCTGCACCATCATGGCTGCCGTTTCTTGCAGTAGGCACGTCGTGATCGTGTTTTCCTTCATATGTTGTAATGACTGCTTTAGGGTCGTGGGATGCCCTTTCTACGTGTTTTCTGACAGGGCATCCGACACTTGTGCACTTATAGTAACTCCTGCATAAAGTGTGAATGTGTAATCGAACATTAAACTACAAATGAAAATAGTGTTTGAAATGGTTAACAATTTGATACAGTAATGTCTTTAATTAGACTTGACCCTAAAGCCCAAAGGTAATAGAGATCCAGTGAGACCATTAGATCAAAGGGAACTTGGAACATGTTTGTTAGCAGTTTTTAATGAGCTTAATGGGACTCACAGCTTATGCGGTCAGCTATACACGACTGTTTGGTGGTGGCTTAATAATATAGAAAGTGGCTTATTCAGTAAGCTTCTAGGGGAAAATTTATGAAGAAAGCCAAGTTTTTTTCCAAATTATGAAGAAAGCCAAGTTTTTTTCCAAATCTGTCCCCAATTAAAAAACACGCACCTCCTATCTATGAAAAAACCCTCCTCAACAAAAATCTAAGCTTAATGGGACTTGCAACTTATTCCGTCAGCTATACATGAGTATTTGGTAATGGCTTAATGATACAGGAAGTGGCTTATTCAGTAAGCTTCTTTGGGGAAAACTTTATGCAAAAAGCCAAGTTTTTCCCAAATCTGCCCCCAATTAAAAAAAACACACCTTCTATCTATAAAAAAACCCGCCTAAACGAAAACCTTCCAAATCTATACAGACAAATTAATCCACACAAACAGCTTTATCGATGCAGGACTTACTGAAAACCAACCAAACAATCCATGTGTTATTATCTATATAGACAGATTAATCCACACACAACTTTACATATACAGGACTTAATGGAAAATCAACCAAAGAGCCCCCATACTAAAGTTGAACAAGATCACCTAGAAATATTTTTATTCTTGCTCATGATACCTGAAATATGCAGTGCTTATTGCTATCTATTTGACCGTTAAGATGGATGCATACCTGGGATTAGGATTGCCTCGCACCACTTTTTGGCCATATTTACGCCAACGATATCCATCATCCAGTATGTCAACCTCACTTATAGTTTGGACAACCACGCGTGGCTCACGGATAGGCTTAACCACAGGCGTCACCTCAAGGGTACCAAAATCCGTTCGCCTTATTACATCAAAGATATCACTCAATAAGAATTTCTATATCACCAATATAATTACAATATAAGGTTTCTTTTTAACTTCATTACCTCCTTTTTGAATATGGATCATCGTCATCAACCTCATCATTGGTGTTATTCAATTGTGCTTCTGCTCGATCCACATGGTCAGGAGAAGGCACGGGAGTTCCACTTGTCTCAGAGTTGGGAGTCGGGCAATTATCTGCAGAGAAACCTTCAACAATTAAGAACAAACACAGCAGATGTAAATATGTAATGAAAAGCAAAACATGCATTGTAAGAAGAGAGGAGAGCATGAAAAAACGGGAAATTGACTGGAATAGCCAATCCCATCAAGGGGTTTCACTTTTTAGCCACTTTTGTACCTCATTTCGACTTTTAGCCGTTTCTTATGCATATGCATAAGGTTTGCTTTTCAGTGAAAAAAGTTGTGCATAATAAGGGAAATTGACAAAAATAGCCAATCCACCCAACTCTTCACTTTATAGACTTGTCAGGACCCAATTTCACTAAATAGCCAAACCTTACCCATATGCGTGAGAAACGACTAAGTCGAAATGAGGTACAAAAGTGGCTAAAAAGTGAAACCCATTGACGGGATTGACTATTTCAGTCAATTTCCCTGAAAAAGCGTGTTGTTACCTGCTTGACCAGTTATAGATGATACTTTATCAGTGTTATCCTCCTGTATTGATGTAAGAGCACCAGGAGTAAGCCGACGACTAGGTTGAGGTTTGGGATGATCATGTGTACCCTTATATACAATCTCCGTTATTTTTCCAGTATAAGAACGTTCAAAAATCTTTTTCACTTCACAGTTGGGATGGGTACATTTGTAATAGCTTCTAGGGAATTCGCTCCCTTTCACGACTTTCTGACCATACTTTCGCCAATTATATCCATCTTCCAAGGACCTGTCAACTGGAACCACCAAAGGTCCGGAATCCTTATGACCGGAGTCTGACAGATGAACCGACTTAGGCACCTCCAGCCCATTTGTTTCCTCGATAAGCGTATATATAGGCGCAGCAAGATTTTGTTCGTTTGGTGCTGCATTCTCACAACTAGCTGAGGATGGTGATGAATACGATCGATACTCATTTTGGTTTTGGTTTTTTTCACTCGGTTCATTTCTTTGGAAGTCAAAACCTGCAGTAACCTTTCATGTATCCAGTATTATAAATTTAGGCATGAAGGAGAACATAGAATTCTATTAGGGTGCGTAAAGTATGCTGTACATGACAGAACCTAATTCTCTTCTAAGACATTTCAACCGTTCTCTTCTAAAACATCAAATACTTGTTCCTCCTAACATTTTATCCGTTCTTTAAATTTTATTTATTGTATTTTATCCTCTTTAAACTTTCACTTCACTGTCCTAAGAATATTATTTTTATACGTTTCCCATATTTTGGTTAATTTATGTAATTTCTTAAATATTAATGATAAAAAAATAATATAGAAAAGGCATAAAACTAAAATTGGAAATTAATAAACTTCATAATTTGGTGTCATTTTAGTCGTATATATTTTGTTACAAAAATATTTATTTTATTATAATTTAATAAATTACATAAATTAATCAAAATATAGAAAAGATATAAAAAACTCACTGGGTAAATTGGTCATTTTACCAGTCTTGTCTTACCAAACATTGAACATCTGTTCTGTCGTGTCTGGGTACCAAACGCACCCTTAATAGACTGCACTACTCTACCTACTTTAGCAATGATCAGGACCAGACTCCAGACCATGTAACATTTGTAGTAATATATTTGATGCATTACTTCCATATTAATGGAATCAGACCAAAATCATGCCTCTATACCCCAAGAGGTGGAGGTATGGTCTGCGTACATCGTACTCTCCCCAAATCCTACTTCCGAGTGAGAATTCTTGGTCCATTTGGTTTGGTTCTAAATTTCCAAAATCATATAATAGGTCCTTTTGTTGTCTAGAACATCTTTTGTTCCCATTTCTCTTTTCTTCCATGAAGGGGATAGGGCTGCACATAAGCCCAACCCAACCCAAAAAATGGGCTGATAGTCCAACCCTCACCAGGCCAAAGCCCAATACCTGGCTAAAGCCTACGGCCAAGATAGTAGGTTGAGAATAGGTTAGGTCCAAATCAGCCCAACCCAACTAGGCCGGCCTAGAATTTTTTTGGTTTGAATATTTTGTCTATCGGTATTCTGAATGAGACTCTCTATCTTTATGGAAGAGTGTAATATCTATCTCGGGGACTTATGTTAAGACTTATATTTAAATGATTATAATATTTTACGTGGTTAAATACTAACTACGAATACTTGATTTTCTTGTTTTTTCAGGTCTTCATTTAACCATCTTCTGAAAGTAGTTGAGTTTCAACCCGGGCAACCCAATGCAACTCAACCTATGTGTGTCCTACAAGGGGGCTTGTTAACTTGATCTATAGACCATTTATGTTATCATCCCCGTGTATAAGTTGAAGAATAAGTGTCTGTTTTAATGAGCTTAATGGGACTCACAGCTTATTCGAACAACTATACATGACTGTTTGGTAGTGGCTTAATGATATAGAAAGTTGCTTATTTAGTAAGCTTCTAGGGAGAGTTTTATGGAGAAAGCCAAGTGTTTTCCAAACCTACCCCTCCCAATTAAAAAACTTGTTCCTTCCATCTATGAGAAAACGGTCTCAAACAAAAATATTACACAATATAGAAGAAGAAAAAATGAAGAATTGAAGATAAAGGAAAAAAGATTATTACTTCTGCATTTTTGATGGATGGATAAAACAGCTTTGATATAACTCATGGAATGATTAACACAAAAGAATCCGTAACAAAAGAAAGCTACAGATGACATAACCAGAAAGGATCAGAAACAAAAACTATAAATAATGTTTTTCGATTACATGGTCATGTCAACGATCACCATATTACAACTTCATGTACTTGTTATAACGCATTTCATTGTCCCACAGATTTATTTCCGTGCTTCTTTGGGCATTATCTCTAAGAAATCTTGGAAATCAGTTATTTCATTTACAACGCCTGTGTTGAATGTTGATGATCCACAATAAAATTCAACAGTTGACAACCATGACTAGACCTCATTAAGAGATCTGGCATACTTTTGCTATAAATGGCTACTGCTCAATCCTGTAAGTACCTCATCCTCTAGGACACAAATAAACAGCTATATGGAAAGGACATCCTCATAATAATTTCTTAGAAACTAGCCATGAGGTAGGTCCATGCAAAGAGCAAGATGGTTACATCATGAAAAGATGTTACATCAAGGGCCTGTTTGCAGCTTAACGGGACTCACAACTTATCCAGTCAGCTACACATGACTGTTTGGTAGTGGCTTAACGAAATAGAAAGTGACTTGTTAAGTAAGCTTTCAAGGGAGAGCTTTATGCAGAAAGCAAAGTTTTTTCCAAACCTACCTATCCCAATTAAAGAACATGCTTCTTCTATCTATGAAAAAAACCTTCCCAATCTATACAGATAGATTAATCCACACATACAGCTTTATCCATAAAGGACTTTAGGGCCTGCTTGTTAGCAGTTTAATGAGCTTAATGAGAGTCACAACTTATTCAGACAGCTATACATGACTCTTTAGTAGTGGCTAAATTATATCAGATGTGTTTTATTCAGCAATCTTCCAGGGGAGAGCTTTATGTAGAAAGCCAAGTTTTTTCTAAACTTGCCTCTCCCAATATAAAAACACACTCATTCTATCTATGAAAACCCCTCCCAAACAAAAGCATTTCTCAATCTACATAGATAGTTTTATCCATACAGGACTTAAAAGGAAAACCAACCAAACAACCCCTAATGGAAAACCAACCAAACAGCCCCCAAGTTTCATATGCAATGCCTGCCATAAAAAAAAGGCAAGTACGTTCAATAATTCAATAGGGCCATACCTGAAGTCCAGCAGATGAAAACCCTGAAACTGAAGCAGACATAGTGTGTGGTTTGAACTCAAAGAAGCTAGATTCACTGTCATTTAAGGACTTGGCCATGGAACAGTTGGCATTTAATGAGAAAGCTGCAGAGCAGATCGATCCTTGCATCCGTTGAGGCTTAAAGAAAGAACCAGTGGTCGGAGATGGCTCTGCCTACAAAAAAAAAAAGTAGAAATATCAAACTGATCATGAACCAGTGTTTGCAGTTGCATTTGATCGATTCGCAGAATCCCCTATTTTTGAAATGGGATTAAAATGGTACAAATTTAGCACAACTTTGATTCATTCAGGAATCTAGAAATTGCCCTAAGCAAACAATAAGAAAAAGGGGGAAAACAACAATGAAATCTTACAGATAATGAACAAAAACATAATCTAGAAGATTCATAGAGAAACAGCTGATTTCATTCATGAGTAAAAGTAGCTATCCATGATGATTTCAGCGTATTTCGTATTGTAGAAAAAGAAGATCCGGTAGAATCGGGTCGGGAAGTGAGGATCCATTCGAGATTTTACCTTAATGTTGGTGAGGAGGACGGGGGATTCGAGGAAGGAGGTAGGGCTGAGACCTGGAGGAATGGTGATGCAGGTGGACCTTGAAATTGGGAGTTTAGCAGGTGACATGAGCTTATACCTAGCGCCACCGCCACCGCCACCGCCACCACCACCGCCGGTGGAGGAGCGACTAGTATTTTGGTCTTCCATGAAAGCAACGATCCGATTTTAGGTCAAAGAAGAGAGTAGCAACAGAAGCTTTCAGAGGGAAGGGAAAGGTGTTTTTGGACATTTCACTTCAACGGCGAATAAATGTTCAAATTTATGCACCGAATTATTTCTTTTTATTTTCTTTTTTTATACGAAGGTGATTAATGCTTACAATCCAATAATTATAACATTAAAGTTTAAGGGGTGTTTGGGATTACATATTTGAAACGACTTATGTTTTTTTACAAAAGTCTTTACCAACTTATCATAAGTTAAAAGGGTCTAACTTCTTCAAAAATTCTTTATTACCAGTTTGGTACCAGTATAAGCTATTTATCCAAACATTCAAAAGTGCTTATTATTGATGTCATACTGAAATAAATCAATAAGTTGTTTTTATAAACAATCTCAAACACTCCTTTAATTATAAAATTAGTGACGCTAGTCCAAACAATAAAAAATGACAATTGATAGGGCATCGATTGAAGTGAAAATAAGGGGATTGAAGTTTGAAATCGTAAAACATAGGTTATATCTAAAAATTGAAATCATCTTAAACTTTCATTTTACACAGGGGAAGATGGCCCAAGTTTTTTTAAGTATTTAATATTTATATATGACAAATAAACTCATACACCCTCCTCACCTTTTATGAGATTTAAACTCCGAACCTTTTATGAGATTTACTCCGAACCTTTTAAAAAACAAAGACTCATCTACCGCAAGGCCAAACACCCTTTAGTGATAGCCCAAGTTCATAACCTCATCTGGTTTAAATCCAAAAAGTGGATAATGGATTAATGGGCTTTGATATCCTGGATTAAAGTCCATAACTGTATACTTATTAAAGGAACATGTAAAAAATTGATTAAAAATATTATATAAATTAACAATTATATCTATACTATCTTATTAAGCAAATTTAGCAAAAGTCTTAAAGTCTTAAAATACTAAATGACCAAGATACCCTTTATACTACTTTTTCACTTTTTCACCCCTTCCTTTCCTCATTACTTTTTCACTTTTTACACTTTATACTTCTATAATTAGTTAATTAATTCACTTTACGTTCTTTACTTTTAAATGTTTCATTTTAAACTTTTATCAAATTAACATACATAATTGTATATCAATTAAAACATGTTTAAACAATACATTTTTATTTTAACAAGTTACACTATTATAAKCGTCTCGTTAATACCTTCGAAATGAGTCCAATATTGAATAATTTTTTACTTAATTATATTATTATGTATTATATATAATGTGAAAAATATTTTTAATATTTACGATTTATACTTTTATAGTTATTTATTTATATATATACTATATATTTTGGGGTTAGGTCGTCCAAATTGCACTGTATAATATGTTCTGAATTAATATGTTCTTGGGTTTTTTTGAAATATATATATACATGTATTAATATATTTAATTCAACCTTAAGCAGTTGAAATTTCATTCTAAAACCCATCTTTTTTTGTCTTTTCATGATTTATGATCTGTTAAATTTGTAGTTTTTTTTTATTAGTTTTGAGTGTTTATCTTAAAACTCAAGTTTCTTGGTTCTTTGCTCTTGATGTAAATCGAACACATTTGTGGAGTCTTTTAAATATGTTGGATTTTAAATATATTGGATTTTAAACTGTCATACAAATTTTTTCATCGATAGTCTGTAGTTGGAACCATAACTCTTATTTATTCAAATTGTATTAATATGTAAAGACCAAGTGTAACTTATATCATTGTTAAATCTTATCTTATAAAACCAGTGAAACTTCAAAATCGTTAAAATTCATGGCTCCCGCCGCATTGCGCGGGTACATAACTAGTATATATATAGAGAGAGAGAGAACGTGCTAAGATCATTTGTGAACCATGAAGAAGGTATTAATTATACAAACTATTTAGACTAATCACAAACTTTTATTAACACATGTTGATTTCTCACCGTGAAATCAATTTTAAGGGTAGATCTGTAATTTTATCTTTTTGTCTAGATTCCAATTAAGATGTTGTTACAAAACAATCAAATCCATGATTCTAGCTAAATTAATGGTTCTATTTTTCATATGACTGTTAAGGATTTGTTATCGTATAAGAAGAAACATGGATGACCATCATCATCATCATCATTTTTACCAATGAAATGTGTTCACGAATATGGAGAAATAGGTGCACAAAGTGAACTACGTGTACCAATAAATCATCAACTCTGTGTTCATAAATGTGGAGAACTATGTGTGCATAGTATGTGTTCACATATATGGACATGTGATTAGAATATCCGTTCATAATAGGTTCAATATTTATAAAAACTTGTTCATAAATATGGAATCTGCATAATGCGTTCTTTTGTTCATATAATGAATTTAGGCACGTGTTCATGAACCATGAGTACATATGAACCATGAACAATTCCCATGAATATCGAATACTTGTTCACACATGAACCATAAACCATGAACCAAAAAAAGTTGTAGAAGAAACAGGTGTCGGGATCTTGTTGATTTACAAATATGTAATCAAATTAAAACACAATACCCATCAAAATTTAAGATTTTTTTACAGATCCCAGATGAAAACTTGTTCCTATCTACTGCACTAAACACAATCTGCAACCAAGGATCAGTGAGGATAATAAGATGGTCGATATTCGGCTGCCAACTCGTTCGAATTATCGATATAACCTGATCCGGATGGAGGGTGTGCTTGTGGAAGATAAGACCGAGACCCACCAGGCCCACCGTAACCAATGTTACCGTATGGAGCCATGGGGGTGCACCCAGCCGGAGAACAGCCACTTGTTGGTATGGTCGATGCAGTAACTTCAAGAAAGTTGTTTAATTTCCGCATCTTTGGCTGTGGTTGCTGCTGCTGCTTCCTGTGAACCGCCACTCGTTTTCCAAAACCCGCCTCGTTCTCTAGTTTCTTCACGAGATCAACGACAATATCCTTTGGATACACCGATTCTAGACCATATTCATCAATGCATTTGATCATTGACCTTAACGCCTCGATTTCTTTCACTATAACCTTATTCTACATACAAAGTTGGAAAAAAGGTAGCTCGAATCAGTGGTGAAGTGGTAATCTTTACGTTTGAAACAATGGACGACGAACGAACCTGATAATCCTTTCCGTTCTTACGGGTCACCTCCATAATCTTCGTAGACATTACTTTACGCTGCTCGAAGAGATGACCGGGTGAAAATCTGTCGGTTTTCTGAAATTCGATACTGAATTTCACAGCATCAACTACCATGTCTCTATTAATGAGTTCCTGAATCAGATCTGCACAGATATGGAGCTACAAATCAAATACCCATTTAACAATGGAAATTTAAAGGAATGATCAATTCTTACCATCGATCTTATTCGCCGGAATCATCTTCCGACACAGATCAAACTTGCGTAGTTTTCTAGTAGCGAAGATCACAAAGCAATCGATAAGCTCATCCATGCTAAATCCATCCATCAATCCATAAACTGCCACAAGAAGCAAAAACCCAAATGCATCAAGTCTTTTTGCTTTACCAGAACTAATCAGCCGCTTCCGATTCCACTGCATCGCCACCTTCATCGCTTTATTCTTCATTTCAACCCTAATATCCAGCTTCATACGCATTAATCCTTCCAACATAATCGTACAACCACCCTTGACCAAACACGATTCATGACTTTTACCGCAATAAAACCCTGCCATTGCGTCCAAAACCATGGCCGGAGCATCAGGGGCGCACAGATAAGCATCAGGGAGTTGTTCCAACAGCAATGATCGATTGGCGGCGTTAGTGATATACCGTCTTAACCCTATCCCATCGGAATTACGACAGAGATGTTTGAGTATGGATGTGGTGGTGGATGATGGATTTAGGGTATTGAGGAGCTGGAATCGGTGGCGGAGGGAGGAAGAGATGGTTGTGAAATAGGAATCGAAATCGGTCCAATTGAGATTGAGATTCAAAGCAGATGACGACGATTGGGATTGAAGGTGGAGGAATGATTTCCGAAGGTTTTCTTTCTTGATTTCGATTAGGTTGATGGCAGCAGAGATTTCCCCCAATGACTCCATCGCCATTAGAGACCTCCTTTTGTGATGAACGTCAACAACAATTGATTTATATAATTTATTAAATATTAATAATAAAAAATAAGATATAAAATGTGTAAAATAAAAATTGAAAATTATACAAACTTTTTATTTTTTAATCATCTTGACAAAAAAAATCTAATGATATATTTCGTTATAAAAAATATTTATTTTATTATAATTTAATAAAGAGAAAAGTTTTAAAAAAACCCCAATAAACTATCTGATTTTGATTGACTAAAAGAGTACTCGAGCAATGCAGCGAAATAAATCTTTATTTTAATGTTTACTTTTAATATTTTTGTCTTTATCGATATAATATGATTTATGTGGTTTTGAAAAAGCAATAATGTTTTTATTTTTAAATGAAATATAAATTTGAAGATAGTATAAAATTTTGAAGAAAAAAACCGATATTAGTATCAAATTAACTTTTTAATAGTTCTCGTTTTTTTTGTAACTTCTTTAATTCAATTTTTTTTTTATAATTTAGTTTAGATTTAATAACAAAGTAATTTATTTTTGATTTAATAATATATTTTTTCATAAAGATAATAATTAAACATTTTGTTAGAACTCAATGATTATCTTAATTATATTTTAGATTTTTTATATTTAAAATAAGATGTTTATCTGGTATTTGATTATGTTTATCTGCAGTTAGTTACAATATTTTAAAAATGAAGCTTTAATAAGTTGTACTTACGCAAAACTACTTGTAATTTTGAATTTTAATTAATATGCATCAATAAACAGTACTTCATGCATAAAAAATGGTTTTTAAGAGTTTTTGTCAAATGTTTTATAATATAGTATAGATTAAGTACTCAAACTATTCTTTTGAATGATAAAACCCTTAAACTTTCTAAAACTGGTTAAATACATCCTTGAAACCTGTAAAAACAAGTTGATGTGATAAAAAATTAGGAAAAGTCTAAACAAACCCAACAAACTATCCGATTTTTAATTGGTTCGTTGTACTTTGTTGTCGACAAGACCGTGAGACGAATTGCATATACTTTTTTGTTCATGATTTTGTTCAAAAAACATTTCCGGATTTATTTGTTCAAAATCAAGTTCATGATTTTGTTTCTTCAAAAAAAATCTAGAATTTATTGTTCAAAAAATGTTCAAGAATTTATTTGTTAGAAAGATGGGGACTTAATCATTCAAAATCATATAGTATTGTTGGGTTTTTTTAGATTTTTCCCAAAATTTTATCACGTTAACCTGTTATAGGTTACAAGAATGTATTTAATTTATCATTCAAAAAAATGGTTTAAGGACTTAATCATTCAAAATCAGAAGTTTGTTGGAGTTTTTTTAGACTGATTCCTTTAATAAATTACATAATTAATCAAAATATTTAAACAACTCATTGTGATAAATTGGTCTTTTTTTTTTGGTCCTATCAAGTTATGTCTTACCCAAATGTTGAACAGTTGTTATGTCTTGTTTTGTTTTATCTTGTCTTCATACCAAACACACATTTAATAACGTGATTCACATATTGTTTGGTAGTGGCTTCATGATATAAAAGTGGGTTATCAGATAAGCTTTTATGGAGAGTTTTATGCAGAAAACCAAATTTTTTCCAAACCTACGTCTCTTAGTTAAAAACACGCTACTTTTATTTATGAAAAAAGTCTCCCCAAACAAAAACCTTCTCAAATATACAAACATATTAATTTACACAGACAACTTTATTCATTAAAGATCTAATGGAAAACCAACCAAATAGCCCCTTAGAAAAAATTGAGAGTAATGATGGTGACTTTTTGGTGAATCTTTATACGATAAGCATTTTTTATAGCTGAAAATTTACCGATTAAATAAGTGAAGATGGTGATTCCTGTCGATAAAACGCTTATCCAACAAACATTTGGTAAACGGCAACTAATATTGATATAGACAACCAAATCCATACGATCAGCTTAATCAATACAGAGTTTAATAAGAAAACAATCAGAACTACTTAATTTATCTCTCTAAGGGGTCGTTTACCTAAATGCTTACCGGGTAAGCGATTATCGTTAGGAGTCAACACTATAATTTATTTTACTGGGAAAGATTATAGTACATCAAAATGGTATCGTATACAACAATTTACCATGTAAGCACTTACCCGGGTAAGAGTCGTCACCCTCACTTACCGAGTAAGTCTCTTCACCCTTATCATTGTTCTTACTGGGTAAGATTTTTGACCCTTGTCATGTTCATCCGGTAAGGAAAGTTACTCGGTAAGCACTTTTCGGGTAAACGTTTAGTAAACGGCCCCCAAGTATTTGAAGTATTTAGTTTCAATGAAACTAATTTCTCTTAGGAGCGTTTGGTATGAAAAATGTTTTCTGAAAAAATGAAATATGTCAAATGAATTTGACTTTGAATAAATTAGAATGAAATTTAACTGCACGTTTGGTTCGAATGAATTGGAATGAAATCTGTTAAATTATTTCAAATACGCATGTTTGGTTAGTAGAATGCAACTTTGGAATTGGAATGGGTAAATGATAAATGACCAAAATGCCCTTTTATATCAGTGGTGGTCGACGATGGTTTAGATCGGTGGTGGTCGGCTATAGTTCAAACCATGGTGGTGGATGGTTGTTTAAAATAGTGGTTCAGATCGGTGGTAGTTGACGGTGGTTCAGAGTGGTGGTGTTCAGCGGTGGTTTAGATTAATAGTTCAAATCGATGGTGGTCGCATGGTAGTTCAAATAGGTGGTGGGCGATGGTATTTCAGACGAAGGTCATATGGGTCTGGGTAAATCAATTACGTAATGTGGGAATAATTTTGTCTTTTTAAGAAAATTTGATGGAATGGAATTGAATTCCTTCTCAATTGTGATCAAATGACCAAATCCATGAATGGTGGAATGTGTGGAATTCAATTCCATTCCATAGATATACCAACTGAATAAAATATGGTCATCAGAATTGATCATTCCAATTCCTTCAAATTCCATTGAAATCCTTCATAATGCTGTTAAAATCAGCAAAAATAAGGGACCAAAAAATGTATATCATTCATACATCTCCCTTTATGTTTTTTTTATTCATATTTAGACTCTTAATTAAGCCTTTATTTCCACAATCATCAGAGACATTAATTTACGCTCGTCAAAGAGATCAACTGGTGAAAATTCATCTGTTTTTTGGAATTCACTGATAAATTTCACCGCACCAACTTGCATGTTTTTATTTAAGAGTTCTTGAACTAGATCTCCACAGACAAGGAGCTCAAATCAAATAACGATTACAGAATGCAAGGGTCGGTTTGTTAGCAACTTAATGAGCTTAATGAGACTCGCAGCTTATTCGGTCGGCTATTACTAGATTGTTTGGTAGTGGATTAATGGATGATTCATCGTATTTACCGTACTAAATGGATGCATGCAAATGGATTCAAAAAATGAATGATAAAATAAATTACCTTTGCGCATGTGCATAAAACCCATAAAACAATTTTTTTCAAAAGATGAATGATTGAATATTGTTAAATATGCATAGGTTCATAAAACTTTATAAGCTAATGATCTAATGGTCTAAAGTTGTACGGTGACAATTTTGTAATTATTGAAAAGTCTTGTGGCAATTTTGTGATTATGAATGTTGAGATTGTAGATCTAATCCAAGGGTTGAGAATTGATCTTACGGGTCTCACGAAAAACTCTTGTTCTCACATAATCCCAAGTRTATATGTATGTATGTATATATCATGAATTGTTAAATCTTAGGAGTAGTTTTGTTAGGTTGTTTTCCTCGATAATGCCGACGTATCCTTATATAACTGTCATTGTTTACTTCTAATTCTCATCTCAAAAACCAATGCAAAACCCCAACTCAAACCTCATCAATCCATCGTTTATCTCCAAGATTTCTTGATTCTTGTTCTTCAGCCTTCTGAAACTCTAAAGCTCTTCAATTTGTCTTCATCCAACCATTTCCATCACAAATCATCATCCACAGATTTCAATTCAACAAACCTTCAGTTTCCATCTACGACATTATGAACGTTAGAAGAGATCTTCACCCGATTCTCTTGTTCTGCGTCGCAGTTTTAGCTCTATCTCTCAATGTCGACGCTAGAACCGGTCTAGCCCGCGATGCTGCTGCTGCTCCATCACCGAACGGTGAGGTTTCTCCGGAGGATACCGATTCACATGTGAACAAACCAGGAACGAATCATTCTGTTTTGTGGTCGGAGCTTGGTCTTTTCTTGGCGTTACTCGGCATGCTCGCTTATGTGGTGAATGTAAGGATCACAAGATCATTGAAGGAAGAAAAGAAGGCGGTCAAAACCAGTACCGTTGGCGGCTCTTCCCCTAAAATTGATTCTCCGGTGAAGGAAGTAAAGCAGCAGCAGGAGCAGGAGCAGGAGGTCGGAAGACAATCTGGGCTGGTTTTCTTTGTGAGGGAAGAGGAACAATTTAAGCTGGAAAACCTTCTTGATGCTGGAGCTGATATGCAAAACCAGAACTATTGCAGCAGTCTTTATAAGGTTCAGCTTAACAACAATGGTGTTTATGCTGTCAAGAGATTGAAGAAATTGCAGGAATCGTATGATGACTTTGATCGTACAATGACAATGGTCGGGAAGTTGAATCATCCGAACATTATTCCGCTTGTCGCTTATAGTTGTCAGGGTGACGAAAAGCTTCTGATTTACAAGTATCAGAAGAAAGGGAGCCTTCTCTCGCTGATGGAAAGTAAGCCCTCTATACAACTTAACCATTTTACACCAAAATCGGTTCTATAGAACGTCAAATATGTCTTCTAAGGGGCTGTTTAGTTGGTTTTCCATTAAGTTTGTATGGTTAAAGTTGTCTGTTTGGATTAATCCGTCTGTATAGATTGAGAAGGTTTTCTTCGGGAAGGTTTTTTCATAGATGGAAGGAGTTTTTTTCTTTAAATGGGAGGGCGGGGGGGTTGGAAAAAAAACTTGGTTTTCTGCATAAAACTCCTCCCTAAAAGCTTACCGAATAAGCCACTTTCTATATCATTAAGCCACTACCAAACAGTCATCTATAACTCACCGAATAAGTTGTCTCTCGTTAAGCTCATTAAGCTGCTAACAAGCAGGTCGTAAGTATCCTAATAGACTACTGCCTTGAGGCGTGTAGCTCAGTTAGTAAACAGGCGGAGCGACTTTGCTCAAATACACAACAGTTTCAAGTTCAAATCATGTAGTAGAAGGGCTTGAACCCCTCCGCTAGCCTTAGCCACCAAGTCAGCTCTGAAATGCCTCCTCACATTCTGCTCCTAGGGGCCAGGTTTCGAGTGGGGTCGGTCGAAATTGCCGGTAACCAACATTTTGCTTAAATAGACTGTTTTATAGGACTTAGGTTTATCTTATAAAAAGAGACATTTCTAAAGATGTCGAATAAAAAAACTAATCAGACACTTTATTTCAAAAGTATCCTAAAGAACTTGTTAAGATGTCCAAATACATCATAACATCCTATTGTAATACATTTACGTATGACACATAATTATTTGGTCATATAAACTTAAGTCCTATAAAGCAGTCCATTATGACATCATCTAGACATATTTGACGCCTTATAAAGCCGATTTTGTTACAGTGATCGATGAATCATACACAAACAAGACATCCACCAAATGTGAAAGGTTTTCTTTTATTTTGACATTTGAACATTGCAGGGTATATTGAAGGGAAGAGGGATTTCCCATGGAAACTCCGGTTGTCTATGGCCGTTGGTATCGCGAGGGGTTTGGATCACATATACAGAAGCTTCGAAGGCTCGGAGACGATTCCCCATGGAAATATCAAGCTTTCTAACATTTTGTTGGACGAGAATCACGAAGCATTAATAAGTGAATACGGGTACTCAAATTTCCTAGATCCCAAGAGCGTTTGCCTCTTCAGCAATAACGGTTATACAGCCCCAGAAAGATGTCTATCTGAACAAGGGGACGTGTTCAGCTTCGGAGTCATTCTATTAGAGCTACTAACAGGAAAGATAGTCGAAAAGAGCGGTTTAGACCTTCCGAAATGGGTGAAGGCGATGGTGAGAGAAGAATGGACCGGAGAGGTGTTCGATAAGGAGATTGCAAAGGTTGGAATGTACGCTTTTCCTCTCTTGAACGTTTCCCTCAAATGCGTGGCTCATTTTCCCGAGAACCGGCCCGGGATTGGTGAGGTTTTGGAGAAGATTATGGAGGTCTGTAACGCACAAGAAGATTTTTCGTGTTCATCATCCGTGGAGTCGAGTTCACAAGATGGTCATGCGCTTTATTCGGTGGCCGAGGAGAATTGAGTTGAGTTTATAGAGGATTTATGTGTATATAGAGAAGCCAGATTAGTGTATCTGTGTTGGCACTTTCTTGTACCAGTAATAATAATAACGGAAATTGTCCAAAGTAGCTATTCCGGACCTCTCAATTCATTTTATACAGCCGTTTTTCTACTCAATTGACGAACAACCAAGATTTTGCAAGTAGCACTTTAATCGGTGGTTTTGGCGTCAAAATGGATAACCGGTTGAGTCCATTGGCTGACAGTGGAAATGGTTGTCTCCATTTAGTTTAGGTTTGGTTGGTTTTCCATCAAAGGTTTGTTTGTTAGCAGCTTAATCGGACTTGCAGCTTATTTAGTCGGCTATACACGACTGTTTGGTAGTGGCTTAATCATATAAGCTTATTCAGTAAGCTCCTTGGAGGGAGCTTTATGTAGAAAGCCAAGTTTTTTTTTTTACAAACTTGCCCCTCCCATTTAAAAATGCATGTTCCTTCCATTTATGAAAAAACTCTCATAACAAAAACCTTCTCAATCAATATTAGACAGGTTAATCCACACATATATCTTTATCCATACATGACTGAATAGAAAACAAACCAAACGGCCTCTAAGTCCTGGATGGATAAAGCTATTTGTGTGGATTAATCTGTCTATATAAAATTGGGAAAGTTTTTTCATAAATTTAAGGAGCGTGTTTTTTAATTGGGAGTGACAGGTTCGGAAAAAACTTGACTTTCTCCATAAAGCTCCCCCAGAAGCTTACTGAATAAGCCACTTTCTATATTATTAAGCCACTACCATACAATCATGTATAATTGACCGAATTAGTTGTTAGTCCCATTAAGCTCATGTAGTTGCTAACAAACTGGCACTAAGCTGAATATATGTGTTTAGTTATCTGTCATCAGATATTCGTAAGTGAATACACAGTAAGATTGGCCATCTGTTTCAGGCATTGCTGCATAGAATTTTCTTAAAGGTAATGCTAGGAGAAAGAGGGTTGACAGGAACCAGAAGACTATTGATATATATATATATATATATATAGAGAGAGAGAGAGAGAGAGAGAGAGGAGGTTCAGGGGAAAACCCCCAAATAAACGAAAAAGTAAGGAACACTCTGGTAATCGTTCATTTGGACAGTATTCACGTGTGCATACAATTGCAGTTGTTTTTTGGTTTTTATGCACGTTTGCATGTCATGCACATGTGCATACCGAACAAATTGCTTACAAATTACTTGTATGCACAGTGGATACCATGCAAATGAATAATTATTAGGGTGTTCCTTGGTTTTTCATTTTTTTGTGGTTTTCCCCTGAACCTGACCCTTTATATATATAGCATACGACCGCAGCATATCTTTAAGGAATTTTGGTTCAAGAATTCTTGATAATATATACTACACATACGTAGGACACAGGACAGCCTAACAAGTTCTTCTTTAGAGCTTAGTTTTCTTTATTTTATTTTGATCATTCTTTTGTAACGGTTACACTTTTCGAAGCTAATAACAATTAGGCTGCGGCTACGATAACAAGATTCAACCATAATAAATATTATCGAGCTTCTGAAATGATCGTTCAGAGCCCATGATATAAGCTAAACCTACGACAAAAGTAGCATTGCCTAATTTCTAGTGTCGGATATACACTATCCAACTAAGTTCTCTCACAAAATAAAATAACGGGTTCTGTTAACTTTTTATTTGTACATCATCGTGTTACTATCCCAAATAGTTTCTCGAAAAAGATGCAGTTTACGAACCTTAAACTAGGATTTCTCTTCGTCTGAATTGGAGCATGGTGGTCCAGGAACAGAGTCGGCAAAGAACTCTTCCACTGCAAATAAAGACAGAAAGTGTTAATTCCACCGTTCTATATATTCCAAGAACGAGGGACCATCCCTCACACGATCAAGAACTTTATCAAAATTCGAACATGGGTATGTTTCGGAACTCAAACTTATGACTGAATGAGCTCCTATATCCATTCCACACCTCAAGTGAAGCTATCACCAAGGTTTTCACACCTTAAGATTTCTCCTAGGATGCATTTGCTATTCAGATAAGACAGGACATGACTGTTCAGCGTTTGGTAAGACAGAACTGGACATGATAGAACAGATAGAATAACCAATTTACCCCTAATGAGTTGTTTATGTATTTTAACTAATTATGTAAATCATTATGAAGTTTTCAGCAAGATGATTATGATGACACCAAAATAAAAAAGTTCATATAGTTTCTAATTTTTATTTTATACCTTTTATGTATTATTTTATTATTATTGATATTTAATAAATCACATAAATTAATCAAAATATAGGAACCATATAAAGATAATATTTTGAGGGCAGTAAAGAGAAAGTTTAATGAGCATAAAATACAATAAGTAAAATTTAAAGAATGAATAGAAGGCGTATTTGATGTTTTAGAAGAAAATTAGGTTTTATTTTGACGTTATATCGGTAAAATTTCGATTTCTTCCTTTTTGGTCTCAAGTTCATCATTTCGATTACTTTTCCCTTTTTCAAATTCTTCAAATTTTGTAGGATATACTGGGTTGGTTTGATTTACTTTTTACACTTTCCACAAGCCATAAGTATTCACGGAAACAATCGTTCTACCCCTTGGGGTAGAGGACGGGTCTACATTATCACACCCCCTCAGACCTCACCTTTCCGAGAGGGATATTCTACGGTCATTTAGTTTGGTTTGTAGCACGAAGTTAAGAAAAAACACAAAAACCCGAGAATGTTCTTACCAATGTCCTCTTGCTCAGGGGAATCAAGTAATATATCTGAATCGGATGGCAGAAAGGGGGAACCAGGATAGTTTCCAAGAGCTCCTAGATCTGAAAAAGAAGATGTAACACATACCGATAAGAAGTAAGATTGACTGGTGTTTCACATAAAAGGTATATGAACCATATCTATAAACAAAAAGAAACTTTTTTTGGAAGGGTGTCCGGGGCTATGCCCAGACTAATCCCGGCAAATTGTGACTGCAAGAAATCAGCCCTGATAAACACAGTGGTCACAATTGTGTGTACGCCTGGAATTGAACCCCACCAAGATGGGATATTCCACCACATCCCCTAGGGCCTCTACAAGTACGCCACAACCCTTGTGGTTCAAAAAGAAAATCTTGCAAACAAGTATATTATGGTGGAGCTGAAAAAAAGATTCAATGTACCTCCCAAGTTCGATAAGTCGGCTGTAAGATCTGAAAGGCTGAAATTCCAAGGAATATGACCAAACGGTCTAGAAGTTCCATTATCAGGTGGCAGATGCAATCCTACTGAACTTGCCACGTCAGATGTAAAAGCTGTGTCAAGAGCTGATGTGTCAACTCCCATCCCCGATATTTCAGATGTGGTAAATGGGAAATGGCCGCTGGACGCCACTGACGTAGGACTCATAGGCATATCTGATATGGGTGAAATGGCCCCATTCGTTGGAATAGTAGGGGTGACATCAGCTGCACTGTTGTCCATCCCCATACTTCTGCAAGGACAACAAATGAAACAAGACTTAGGGCTTGTTTGTCAGCAGCTTAATGAGCTTAATGGGACTCATAGCTTATTCGGTCAGCTATACATGACTGTTTGGTAGTGGCTTAACGATATAGAAAGTGGCTTATTCAATAAGCTTCTAGGGGGGAGCTTTAGGAAGACAGCCAAGTGTTTTCCAAACCTGTCACTCTCGATTAAAAACATACTCCTTTCATCTTGAAAAAGGCCTCCCAAACAAAACTCTTCCAATCTATATTGACAGATTAATCCACACATGCAACTTTATCCATATAGGACTTCTAGAAAACCAACCAAACGTGGCTTGTTTATTAGCAGGTTAATGAGCTTAATATGACTCACAGCTTATTCGGTCAATTATACATGACTGTTTGGTAGTGGCTTAATGATATAGAAAACGGCTCATTTAGTAAGCTTCTAGGGGGAGCTTTATGAGGAAAGTCAAGTTTTTTCCAAATTTGCCCCTCACAATTAAAAAACGCGCTCCTTCCATCTATATGAAAAAAAACCTCCCAAACAAAAATCTTCCCAATCTATACGGACAAATTAATACACATAGACAGTTTTATATATACAGGACTTGGTGGAAAACCAACCAAACAACCACTAGTTGCAAGATACTAAGTATCCAAGATGGGTATTAGAAGCGGCACAAGTGATGGAAGTCATGGAGATTGTACAATTCTCCTTTATTCCAAGAAATCTTTACATGTATGTAACTATATATATCTAGTCCTAAACCCAAAAAGAAAAACAAACAGAAAGAGTTTTCTTCAAAGTTAAGGCATGTCTATTAGCAGCTTACTGGACTTAATGGAACTCACAGCTTACTCGGCCAAGTATACATGACGGTTTGGTAGTGGCTTAATGATATAAAAAGTGACTTATTCAGTAACCTTCTGGGGGAGCTTTATGCAGAAAGCCAAGTTTTTCCTAAACCTGCCCTTCCCAATTGAAAAGCATGCTCGTTCCATCTATGAAAAAAATCCTCCCAAACAAAAACCTTCCCAATCTATACAGACAAATTAATCCACACAGACAACTTTATCCATGCAGGACTTCACGCAAAAACCAACCAAAAACAGTTATTGTGATTGTATAACTTGAGAGAACATGATATAGAAAAAGTTAATTGGAAGGCTCACTCATTTCCAGAGTTCATACGCATCGGATGGAAGTTACTTGGAGCAGGCACTCCGTTGACCACATGACAGGTAGATATACCCATGGCATTCATATGAGGTTGACCTGCACTTGGCATCGAAGGTTGTGGTAGAACAGGGTATCCCATTGGTAAATTGTTAACTGCACTGCAAGGAACGGAATTGAATAAATAATGATGGCAATTTTAAGATGCTATTAGTCTTAACTCTGTCAGCTTATCATCCAAGAGGCAATATGCTTAAGAATGCTTGAAGGGGAGACAACTTAACAACATAAAGGGTGCATTTGGTACACTGGACATGACAGAACAGAACATGGATCATTGTTCCATGTTTGACAGACTTTTATGTGAAACAGAATGGAACAAAGTGGAACAGGCGTGTTCCACCTCCATCACATGGAAGAAGGTGGAACATACCTATATTTTACCAATGTAACCTCAAAATAAAACCTAATTCTCTTCTAAAACGTCAAATACGCCTCCCTCTTTACATTTTAATAATTTTTTAAATTTTATTTATTTTATTTTATGCTTTTTAAACTCATTTCATTACCCTCAAAATATTATTATTATATGGTTTATATGTTTTGGTTAATTTGTCTAATTTATTAAATATTAATAATAACAAACTAATGTAGAAAAGGTATAAGATGAAGATTTGAAACTACATAAACTTTTTATGTTGGTGTCATTTTAATCGTCTTGATGAAAACTTTCTAATGATATATTTTGTTATAAAAGACATTTATTTTATTATAATTTAATAAATTACATAACTTAAACAAATATATTTTATATATATACAACTCGTTAGGGGTAAACTAGTCATTTTATATGTTTTGTCCTATCTAGTTTTTGTCTTACCAAACGTTGGCCAGCCTGTTCTGTCCTATCATGTCTGGATACCAAACGCACCCAAATAGTCAATTTACAAGATCTATCAAGAGTTTGTATATGAATCCACAATACAATAGTTGCAAACATAAATGGTAGTGCCACACGCTTCGGTGGCACTGAACGAGAAAATAAAGAATTGGTTCAAGAGTTTGTGAAATGATGTTTAGAATTCAACGAGTAATTAACATTTCTAAGTAAGATTTTACCTGGCATGGGATGGATGCCATTTTGTATGGGAGCAAGAGGAAGCTTTGGATGAACCGGATACTTCATAAGATGGTATTGATGTTCAAGTAAATGGTTGAACATGATAATCTGCTTTTTCAGTTTCAGCCGTATGTAATAAGCTCTGAAAAAGTCTGCATTTTCTTCTTCCAATTTCTGCCAAACTGTCTTCCAAAAGTAAATATTGAATCGTACTTATAATATGCTTCCGTCGTTATCTTTGATGATGCATTACAAACAACGGCTTTATAGGTGGGTAACAATCCATTATAACGAACAAAAAAATCAAGAAACATAGGAAGGTATTAATCTAAAGACGCAGGGATTACTGTCTATTGAGCAAGGGCCTTTTTGTTAGCAGCTTAATAAGCTTAATGGGACTCGGAACTTATTCAGTCAGTTATACATTGGTAATGCCTTCATGATATAGAAAGTGGCTTATTCAATAAGCTTATAGGGGGAGCTTTATGCAGAAAGCCAAGTTTTTCTCCAAATCTATCCCTCCAGATTAAAACATACGCTCATTCCATCTGTGAAAAAACCCTCCCAAACACAAATCTTCCCAATCTATACAGACAGAGTAATCCACGCGGACAGTTTTATCCATATAGGACTTTATAAAAAACCAACCAAATAGCCCCTTAATGAGAGCTTAATAGGATTCACAGCTTATTCGGTCAACTATATATGACTGTTAGGTAGTGGCTTAATGATATAGAAAGTGGCTTTTTCAGTAAGCTTCTAGGAGGAGCTTTATGAAGAAAGCCAAGTTTTTTTTTTCTGAACTTGCCTATCTTAATTAAAAGCACACGCTCCTTCTATCTATGAAAAAACCCTACCGAACAAAAACCATCCCAATCTATACAGACAGATTACTCCACATAGACAACTTTGTCCATTAAGGACTTGATGGAAAACCATCCGAACAGCCCCTACGCCTAGAACAATCTAATTAGTTTAGAAAGTTCGGATCTAATATCACACTGGTAAAAGAGCGCAATAGTAATAACGTCAAGAGCTACAAAGTTATGTACCTAAAGTTGTGAAACCAGGATCAATCCTCGCACGATTTAGTAACGTTTTCACCACCTCGTCTCTGTTCATGTACAGCTGCAAACAACGTTCTATCAAGTTCTGGACCTACAAGATTAAAGAATAAAATCAAGATCAGCATAATCCAAATTGGCTTTATAATCCTATAAGTAACAATATCCTTACAAGTTCAATATCCTCGCGCGAAACTTTTCTGTTGTCATTGCTCGAAATGGAGGCTGAACCAGAGTCAGGAACAGGAGCCTCTGTTGCATTATTAAGCTGGTCACTTTGAGACTCGTGTGAAACTTGGGTGGTCAAGGGCTGTATTTCTGGAATGTTCTTGGACTCCTGCATGGCCTTCTTATATATAGTTACTGACTACATCAATTAGTACAAACAATTGCTCCTTTAGGGTTACAGAAAACAGATGGAATTGTGAAAACCTGATTGTTCTTCATCTCAGTTAAATTCTAACCGACACATCTCCACAAACCCAAATCTTGTTGTATCCCCCAAGCCACCTTCTTTATAAAAATCAACTTTTTGTTCTAAAAGAAGTAGAAATAGAAGTGGGTTCGACAAATTTAACCTGGAAGACGAGAAATTGAAGACATTTTAGTCCTCCAAATAGCAATAGCAAACCACCCTCTTGCCAAAAGAAGAGATGTGCATTGATTTGTAGTTAAAATCCAGAAATTTCAAACTATAGTTGAACATTTCTACACCAAACTCTATTCTAGTCTATTTCTATTATGGTTTATAGGGTTTAATGTGGTCGCCAATAGTTTTGAAAACCCATGTTACTGGTTTAGTAGAAAAGCAAGACTTCCTTTTTTTCTGGAAAGAATGGAAGTAGAGTAAAATATAAGAAAGAAATCGCAAAATCTTGATGGGTTTATAATCAAGAAATCATTCTGCTGAATTCGAAGATGCTGGATCTGAGAGATAGAAATCGTGGTAGAAACAGAAGAAAGAGCATGGTGTAAAGATGCCTACATGAAAGGAAGCAAAAAGAGAGATAACTGAGGAAGGTGATGAGAACCTGTAGTGGGCTATGCCGGAGAATAGATCGCCGGTGTGAGGTGTTGGAGGCGCTTTCAGATGTTAAAAAATATCATCAACATATATATGTATATATAGGGAGTAGATGGTAATAATTGAGATGGTTGAGGGGGTATTTTGTGAATTATGTATTTAAACTTGAATCAAATCCCTTTACGGTCACGGTGGTTTAAATACGGTGACTCTGGACTATCCGTAAAGCAGGTGATCGTCCTGGAATTAGTCTGTTCGCATAACAGATTGGATATTTAGGTTAATAAAAAAAATTGAATCAAATCCATATATGATCACCAATTCACCATTTTTACTTTTGAAAACAGTTCACAGGAGGAGATGAAGGGGTTGTTTGGTTGGTTTTTGTTGAGTTTGGATAAAAGAATTTTGTATGGTTTGGGAAGTTTTTTTGGAGAGAGAAAAATATGGCTTCCTGCATAAAGCTCAAACTACAAGTCTACTAAATAAGTTATTTTCTATATCATGAAATCAATACCGAATAGTCATGCATAGTTGACTAAATGAGCTGTGAATCCCATCAAGTTCATTAAGCTCCTAACAAACATGCTCGGAGATAGCATCCATGTAGGGACCTATTAAGCCCCAAGCAGGGTCTTGCGTACCTGCTCAACTTATTTTCGAAAGTAGATTTTTTTTTTTTGTATGAAAGATGCACTCGCTAAACTTTGAAATGTGTTCCACGATTTCAGAAAATATAAGAAAAATCAACCACAAGATTGAAAATTTTTGCTAGAAATCAACAAAAATAATTCCTTAAAATAAACTAAAAACCGAAAAAAACCACTTAAAATCAACAAAAAAATTTAAAATCTCTCGAAACGGTGAAATTCGGCTAAAAACACATCAGACGATTTTACGAGCCTTTGATCCACCTTAAAGGTAAACCCGTTCATCAATATCCTGGATACATCACTGCATACATGATCTTGAAACCATTTTAAAACACATAATATGATTATATGTAAATGTTTTAATTAATTAATTAATTAATTAAGAAGATTGTTGGTCTTTCCATTCAAGTTTGATTCTTTATAGAATTTGGAAGCATAAAGCTTTATCTCTTACTTTTACTTTTTCTTTAAATTCCAACATCTTTCCATTTTAGTTGGTGGATCAAGAAAGAATGAGTTCACATCTTCCAACACCTGCACAAGAATCAACATCAATCACTTCACAAATCCGGCTTATTCAATACGTTTTTAAGAGAGATTTATGCAGAAAGTCAAGTTTTTTTCCGAACCTACCCTCCGGTTAAAAGAACACGTTCATACATATCTATGAAAAAACCGTCCAACCAAAAATCTTCCAAAACATGTACAGATAGATTAATCCACGTAGACAACTTTATGCATATAAGACTTGATGAAAAACCAAACAAACAGCCCCTCACTTTCGTTTAGCAGGAGCAAGATCATAAAAATCTGCAAGATACCCCAGTGCTTCAGAGTTACTGTTACATACTTTCCAAAGTGATGAAATCTCTCCCTTGGAGACAGTCCCCCAATCTTCACATACATCCAGAAACTCTAAAAGCTTTGAATAGAAAGAATTGTAGTTCATTAGAATAAACGGAACCGGGAGCGCTGAACCTATTCTCTCTAACTGGATCAACGCAAGAATCTCAAAAGCTTCGTCTAGTGTCCCGATCCCTCCTGGCAGTGCTATCACAGCCGTCTTCTCCCGATTACTACTTCTAACTGCGGCATCCACTAATCCATGCTTTCTTGCAGAAAAAAACCTACATTTTACAAAACCCCATCTAATCAAATGATGTGAATTGGTAGTTCCTTTTCCAGGGAAAGGGTGTCCAAGGCTATGCCCAAACTAATCCCAGCAAATTGTGACCATAAGATATCAACTCTGATAAACTCGGTGGCCACAATTGTTGTGGACGCAACCCAAGGCAGATGGGATATTCCACCACATCCCCATGGGACTCAACCACTACGCCACAACCCTTGTGGTTGTGAATTGGAAGTTTTTTTTTTGAAAGGGTGTCCCAAGCTATGTTGGACTAATTCGGCAAATTATGACCGCAAACAATCAGCCATGATAAACTCTGTGGCCACAATTGTTGCGTATTGGTAGTTACTGTGGATAGAAATGAGTAATATAACCAGAAATCAGAATCTACCTGCATGTAAGATAAGTTTCGGAAGGAAGATATGGATGAAAATTGGTTGCTGCCCATTCGCCAGCTTCTTTGCCGATCTTGAACCCACCAACTGGTTTTCCTGCTTCAAGAGCACCTTGAGTGGCAGCATCCATGAGCCCTGGTCCAGCCCCTGACCATGAAGTACACTCCAAGAGGTGTGCCACCTTTAAGAAAATCGAAAAAGATCAAGTCTTTGGGATATGTGTTTAAAGATGACGCTACTGACTCTTTAGGGTGTGTTTGGCATCGATACAGGACAAGACAGAACATGACAGATTTTCAGCATTTGGTAAGACAGAACTGGACAAATAAAATGACCACGTTACCCCTGACGAGTTGTTTATATATGTTATATACTTTACTTAGTTTATGTAATTTATTAAATTATAATAAAATAAATATAAATCTCATAACAAAATATATCATTGGAAATTTTTCGTCAAAACGATTAAAATGACACCAAAATGAAAAGCTTATGTAGTTTCCAATTTTTATTTTATACCTTCTATATATTATTTTTTATTAATAATATTTAATAAATTAACCAAAATAAAAAAACCGTGGGAACAGTAAAGTGAAAGTTTAAAAAACATAAAATAAATAAAATTTAGAGAATAAATAAAACGTAAAGAGGGAGACGTATTTGATATTTTAGAAGAAAAATAGGTTTTATTTTAAGGTTATATTGGTAAAATATAGATTTGTTTCATCTTGTTCCATGGGGTAGGGGTGGAACATGCCTGTTCCACTTTGTCAATGTTTGTAACACACAAAAGCATAACATAAAAGCCCTGCCAAACATGGAACAGTGATCTGTGTTCTGTTATGTCTTGTGTACCAAACGCACCCTTAGAGCACTAAAAACTGAAAATGGGGCTTTTTGGAAACTAGCAAAGGAAGCAACAATGTGGAATCACTTGCCTCTCTCGCTAATTCTTGTGTTTGGATGTAATGATCGTGTCCCGGACCCATCCTTGAAGAACCCAAGTACACAACTCCCCTTCCGAGTCTACGTATTAGCTCGTAGCACATTTCTATCTCTTTCTTCACCTTCATGTTGACAATATAAGCAATTGATGAATAACGATTCCAAATAATGTAAATGGGAGAGCCGAACTGTAACTCATCGTTTCAACATAATATAACCACGGATAACAATGACATTGATGGTGTCAAAGCCATTTACGATGAATCATAAGGCAACTCAAAAGTACTTCAAAGGCAGAGCTCTTCATAGAGCCAGAAGCTCCTCATACTTGAAAGCTTCTTCTAAGGACTCGCCACCAGGGGCGCCACCCCTTGGACCCCGCCAGGCGAGCCGCCCCCTTGACCCCAGCCATATGGCACCATCAACCGATCCCAAGTTCTAGTTAGTTTACAGAGTGTGCACTTCACACCTCCTAGCCCGTGATATAGCTTAACTACCAACCCCATACTCTCTGATGAATCCAAATACATAAAATGAACCGCAGATTTCACGAAAATCACCAACACAGGGGAAACATCATAAACGCTAATCCAAGATACATGAAACGTATTATATATACGATCAAATGTAATAATAATTGATCAGCAAGAAATCACATAGATAGGCCTTGGCAAAGGCAGGTGATTGTAAATTCAAACAAAACCAAAAAACAGCTCAAATACAAACAGTTTCTTCTTTCCTCAAATTGATGTCAATATGGACATAAAGATGATGGCACAGCACCCACCCAACACCCAATACCCATCAATGAAAACATCAAAATGGTGAAACCAAAAGGGTGGAGGGGTACCTCATTGGAGCTAGTTCTTTCGTCGAGTTGGATAGATTCGATCTTGGAAGATGAAGCCCTAAGTGTTTTAATGGGGTTTGAAATTTGAGGTGTAATCGGACTCTGGTGTGTGGATTTGGAGTTGAAAGCAAGAATCTTGAAAACCCTTTGACGGTGGCACTGCGAGTTGAAGTTCCATTGCGAATTATGAAGACCTAAAGAAGAAGTTGCAGCAGAAAACCCCATTTTTCGGGGAAATGTGCTATAAATCGATAATCTTGGTTCCACCACCAATACCAATTGTCCAATCCTCGAATCATCATTATAAAAAGAACATCCCTTTGGTTTATTTTGAAACTTTAAAGAATTATCAATCATTTTCTCGAAATCCGTACTATCTTTACTGTTTTTAGGTTATGTTTGGTAAACTAATTGATAAACTAACTGATTCATGATAAATTAGTTGATAGTTGATAAACAAATTATGTATAGTAAAAATTAATTTATAATCATGTAAAATGATCTAAAATGGTATCTTAAAAAACTAGTCGATTATAATATAATTCGAATAAATTTGTAATAATATAATATGTTAACTATACAAACAAAACAATAAAAAGATGTTAAATAATATAATATGTTAATTAAAAAAAATTAAAATTGATTATTATATATGCTATGAATTTTGAATTTGTTAAAACAAATTTGAGAAAAAAATCTACATTAATCAATGATTTTAAATCACCATTACATATAATATGAATAACAATAAAATTGATCGACTTCGCATGTCATAATTAATAAATATTTTTTTATAAATATGATTAATAATTAAAAGTAAATAATTTGTTAGAATTATTTAGCGTATTTTAATTATTTATGAAATAAAATAAGTATAACTTTAATTGTTAATTAACTTAAATAAACAATTTTAGAATTGTTATATTTACTTCTTAATTGGAAAAAATGTTAAAAGTTCTTCACATGCTACTTCAATAGGATAGTTTATGTGTAATCAAATGAATTATTTAAAAAATAAGCACCAGATAATACAGAGACAGATGCATATCCAGCAATCACATTATTCTGAATGGTACATGCATATAATTTATACTGAATTCATCTCTTGCTTAGGTTGTATGCTCGACAGGGTTGCCGATGAATTCAGTATAGATTATATGCATATTTTATGTTTGTCAAACAATGCCTTAGGAGTAAACTACAATTTTGGTCCATCTGGTTTACATCAATATCCAAAAGTGGTCATAGACTTCAATAAACTACAATTATCCTCCATACTGTTTAGATTTTGTTTTGAAAGTCATCCCTTGAACTTAACACCGTTAAAATACTCAACTAAGGAATAAGTACTTTCGTCTTTTTTCCTTTCTTTTTTGTCTCACACACCGACCAACCAACCAACCCACCCTGCCCGTCTCTCCCTCTCCTAACTCCCCTTACCAACGTGATAAATCACCTGTGGACATCTTCAACCTTCGACCACCACCTTCACCCGTGACCATCCCTTACCTCCAGCCACCACCCTCTCCTATAACCAACCCCACCCTCACATATGATCGACACCACCTCCATCCACCACCTTTATGTACCTTCTTTGTCCTCGTCTCCACCCCTTCCATGGTCTCTTTGAACCATAACTATGATTTGCAAGCCAAGGCATCAAAAGTAGAGTTTTAGTACAACTTAAGAATCTCTTACTGAAGTAAAATCTAGAAACTAAGGGGCCGTTTGGTTCGCGGAGTTCAAAGGAATTTTATGGAATTGGAATGATAATTTTTTTAACCAAATTCCAATTTCTTTGTTTGGTTCATTTCTTGAAATGGGTGGAATCCTTCAAATTCCAATGAATTCCACAAGTTAAGGAATTCATCATTCCTTAGCATAATGGAAGGAATTGAATTCCATCAACACCCGCAACGACCATGCTATTACTGTTTGTGATGCCCCACCCCTAACCCCCACTACCACCACCACACCACTACTGTCACCGCCACCCACCCTACCCCACCACTAACCACCATGCCATTACTGTTGTCATCACACCCACCCACCCCGGGCCCCGGTCACTCACTGCACATCCCTGCTACGACCATGTCACTCACTGCACATCCCTGCTACGACCATGTCACTCACTGCACATCCCTGCTACGACCATGTCACTCACTGCACATCCCTGCACATCCCCACCCCACCCTACTCCACCCCACCACTAACCACCATGCCATTATTGTCGTCGTTATACCCATCCACTATCATCGTCACATCTACCACCCCGCCACCTACCCCATCCACCCCCACCCTACTCCAACCCACTACTAACCACCATCCTACCACTATAGTCTTCACCTGCCACCCACTGGCTCATCCCCAATGCCTCACCTCACCCCGCCTACCCCCAACAACCCCACCTATTGTGGGGCAGGGGCAGGAGTGGTGGGGGCGGAGTTGGGTAGGGGTTGGGGAAGGGTGATAGCTGTGATGACGACATTAGTGACATGGTGGTTGGTAGGGTGTGGGTGGGGCGATATGTGGGATGGTCCAAACAAAGTCGATTGTTCCAATTCTATTGAGAGATTTCATTCCAATTCCTACCAACCAAATGCATGGTCAAATTCCATTCCAATTCCTTCAAAGTCAAATTCCTTTGATGGATTCCAATTCCATCAAATTCCATTATGTGAACCAAACACCCCCTGAGTTGAATGCCATTACAATTGCTTTTATTTCGATGTTGTGAAGGTTTTATTTCGCGAAGGTGAAAAGAGAATGATGTGTGCAGTATGCGTGGTGTATGTATGCATGTTGTGTAGTGGAGGGTGCTGTCGAGGAAGACCACGTTGTGTGTATATGTATGTTTGGGACCTGTGATGGAAGGGGAGAGGGGAGACGGTGGCTGTCGGAGATGTACGTCGACGATGGTTGAGGGCCGACTTTGGTCTTACGAAATTATTTATTGACAAAATTTATATTATGTATATATAATATTTATTAATTTATGAACACGAAATAAAAGAAATATATGAAAAGACTAAAATGCCCTTGTTTTTAGAAAGATAGTAGAGTTAGTGACACAGACCAATTTCAAAGCAGAATATAAATAATATGTACGATAGTTGTAGTTATTAAAGTATATGGACTACTTTCGGAGGTTGGTGTAAACCACAGAGACAAAAAAATTAGTCTACTATTGTTTTTAGAGTAAATTACGTTTTTCATTCTTACAGTTTGTGAAAAATTACGGATTTTGTTCTAATGGTTTTAAAATTACGGTTTTCATTCTTATGATTTGCAATTCGTTGTTATTTTCGTTCTTAAGACTAGCTTCTACATTTGAGGATGAGGGGCTAACATAGCAATGAATATATACGACAAGGAGAAAAATGGCAATAAATTTTAAATCATAAAGACGAAAACACCAATAAATCGTAAAACCATGAGGAAGAATATCACACTTTCAAAATTACAGGGATGAAAATAACAATTTTCAACAAACCATAGGGACGAAAAACGTAATTTACTCTTGTTTCTATTTTCTTTTATATCCATCGTCTTTGGTCCTAACGACATGTAAGTGTTAACGTCATGTTCTGACGACATGTAAGTGTTAATGTTATGTTCTCAAAAGCTTATCCATCGTCTTTCATTCTAATTGACGCCAATGTGGGACGAAGATGGTAATGGCGATTGTAGTTACATGAACCAAAAATGTAAACCACAAAAGTAGTGCCTGATTGGTTTGAGTTTCAACTCAAAATGTCAAAAGTGTCGGGAAGTCTCAGTTCCAAATTTAAGGAGAAATAAAAATCCTCTTGCGTCCATGAAGGTTCAAATACGATGACTTCATACTACCTGCAAACAGGTGGTCATCTTAAGATTAGTGAGCTCGCACAACGGGTTTTATATCCATGTTAATAATAAAAAATGAAATACGTTTCAAGGGTGAAAGTAGATGGTAAAATTCGTAAATAACCTTTTCTTTTGGTTGCTCTCATCTTTTTAAGTCGAAACCCTAGTTTCCTTCCGTCCATTGGGAGGTTGTGTTTTGGTGGCGCACCATAAACCCTAGAGTATCCTCCGTCATCTGCAAACATGGGTACATTTCACTTTGCAACTATTTTTCCGATTCGATCGATCGATTGATTCATCGTCTTCATCTTCTGATGATGGTTCGTGTTTTTTACAGGTATATCTCGGGATTCCATGCACAAGAGACGCGCCACTGGTGGCAAGAAGAAGGCCTGGAGAAAGAAGCGAAAGTAAAACTCTTCCCTTTATATCTAGTTTTATTTACTTGCATTTTCGTTTTTCGTTGCGCTTTTCTTATTGTTATGTCGATTTCATGGTGCTCTGTGATCATTGCGTCTGGTTGACTGGTTCATTTTGCTTTTGTAATGAATACTTAATTTGTTTGTTTCACCCATTGGTATCATTTTTCCCATTGGTATCATTTTTCCCATTGGATCCTTAGTCTATTATTGTTATTGTTAGATTTCTTAGGGTTTTAGCAATTGATCCACGTTTGCTCTATTTGTTTTCATTTATTGAGACATGATATTTGCCTTTTCACGATTTCTTAGTTTCGTTATTTGGTGGCGTGGATCAATGAACTATATAAATGAAATTCTGCTGGCATTGCTCTTGTTTCAAGTTATTACAACCCTCTACATGCTGTTTGTTAGTTTTAGTTGGAAAAGCAAAATTACTCGGTTTCTTTTCTTTGAAATGAAGTGCATGATGACGAAGCAAATCAGTTTTAGACATGATATCCGTTTGTTCGAATCAAGTTCAATTTGAATTTATACCTCCCAGCCTATTTAAGCATTTACCCCAGGGTGCTTGTTTGAAGATACAGTATTGTATTATGTTGTCTATATACTTCTGTTTTGGAGTGTGCCTGATACTTTAATTATTTTCAAGGTATGAGCTTGGAAGGCAGCCTGCCAACACCAAGATATCCAGCAACAAGACTGTTCGAAGGGTGAGGGTTCGAGGTGGTAATGTGAAGTGGCGTGCGTTAAGGTTGGATACAGGAAATTACTCCTGGGGAAGTGAGGCTGTGACAAGGAAGACACGTATCTTGGATGTGGTTTATAATGCATCAAATAATGAGTTGGTTAGGACCCAAACTTTAGTGAAGAGTGCTATTGTTCAGGTTGATGCTGCGCCGTTTAAGCAGTGGTATCTTCAGCATTATGGAGTTGATATTGGTAGGAAGAAGAAAGCCACCACTGCTGCCAAAAAAGAGGGAGAGGTAAGTTCTTGTTTATGTATTTGGTTTTTAATGTTATATTTATTTTCTTTTCTGGATGTCTATGTCTAATCAATAGATTTTTCACGTACTTGGTTGCAACTTGCAACCATCTCCCTGTCATTATTTTGCAATAAGGAATTTGATAATTGTTGTATAACATTGAGTGTTCTAATTCCCTCATTTGATGGTCACATTCTTTTGTTGTTCCAAAGTCAATCCCACCAGTCAGCACTGGGTGTTGTTACATGAAGAGCCTTATGTCATTACCTTTAACAGGATAAAGTTGCTTAACTAGAAATCTGTCCAAAAAGTTCCTAAATTTGCTCTTTCATAAATTCAAAAGAAAGTACATTTGGATTTATTAAATATCATCGTGTTTTAAAATAGTTCGATTAAAATAATCTCCAATGTTAATGATGTTTGTTTCACCTTTTATCTGCCTTTTGATCGACTCTTAGGAAGTAGAGGGTGCTACTGAGGAGACCAAAAAGAGCAATCACGTTGCAAGGAAACTAGAGAAGCGTCAAGAAGAACGCAAACTTGATCCACATGTCGAAGAACAGTTTTCTGGTGGTCGTCTCTTAGCAGCAATCTCATCACGTCCTGGCCAGTGTGGTCGTGCTGACGGGTATGTGCTCTGATCTAGTGTTTGTTTTCTATCCATATTTGAGTATGTGATGTGCTAATTCTTTTCTTTGAAGACGTATTGGGTTTTACATTGTTTTTTGCGTAATATGTATTATTGGATGTCAACCTATTCATCTCTTGTCCACACGTTAACATTTCGGGATGCATACAGTCACTTAAAGAATTGGCAGCTCTTTTTAGTTTAGGGTTACTGGAACAACTTAGGATTGTATGAAGAGGAACAAATGTCACTTTGGAGATCATGAATGAGATGTTTAAATTGTCTATCAGGTCTTGGATATGTCGTATAAAAAAATAAGCCTGATATAGAGAAGTACATTATTTTTATCAATAAGCCCAAGGTTGATATGGGGTGCATAGTTGGATGGCTCTTTTTCTTGTGATTATGATTTTTTTTGTTGGACACTGCTTTTCTTGGTCATTATTTCGAACCTGTACGGAAACTTTGGCAGATACATCTTGGAGGGAAAAGAGCTCGAGTTCTACATGAAGAAGCTGCAGAAGAAGAAAGGAAAGAGTGCTGGTGCCGCTTAAACCAATATGTCATCCTGATTTTCAAGTTATGATCGTATGTTTTCTTTCTTACTTAATTGAAGGCATGGAATTGTTCTTTTTGTAGAAGCTTTGTTAGTTAGAGTTGACTTTTATAAATGTCGATGAGATTATATATATGATCTTTATTACATCGATTAAATACTAGCAATAATATAATTTATTCACATGGGTCGATTCTATTTGCACAAATTTATGACCAGTTACCACTGGGAATTGGTACAGAACACATAGCAGTCATGGAATGTCTTTTCAATTGGGTCATATTCAAATGTTCATTACAACTATATGTGATCATTCCTATGTGCAAATCAAGAAGGTGTCACCTAAGCTGTGGATGAACTTGTTGGTACCCATTGATGCAGTTCAAACAACTAAATAAATTATGTGTCTCATTAGCCTTCAAGCTCTAATACAGTGAGTTCAGACACCACCTGGTCTTTGTCTGTCTCGAACACTTCATCGTCTACAAACAACATAAAAGAATAACATTCAAATTTCAGAATGAACTTAGAAAAGGAAGAATAGAAGCTTAAGGCCCTGTTTGTTAGCAGCTTAATGGGACTCGTAGCTTATTCGGTCAACTATACATGACTGTTTGGTAGTGGCTAATGATATAGAAAGTGGCTTATTCAGTGAGCTTCTAGGGGGAGCTTTATGCAGAAAGCCATTTTTTTCCGAACCTGCCCTTCCCAATTAAAAAAAAGCTCATTCCATCTATGAAAAAACGGACCCAAACAAAAACCTTCTCAATCTATACAGACAGATTAATCGACAATGACAGTTTTATCCATATGGAACTTAACAGGAAACCAACCAAACAGCCCCTAAGTACACTACCTGTATAGACGAAGGCACCAAGTAATCGTAGGAGCTTGCTTCTATTTGTAATGAGTATGCTTACTATTTCAGGAGGCTTGTTTTTATTTGCTACAAAAAGCTGCCAAATATAGTAAGAAAACTTCAGTAACCAAAAGCAAGAGAAAAACATATAATGTATGTAGATAGGTCGATATATGATCCTTGAAAATACCTTAAACACATGAAAAGCATCTATTTGGATGCTCCTACTTGGATCCTGCATCCACAAAATTCACCAACAATTTCCAGTTTGATATCAACTTTTAGGGTGCGTTTGGTATCTAGACAGGTAAGATAGGCCAGGACAGAACATGACAAAACAACTGTTCAGCGTGCGGTAAGACAAAACTTGACAGGGCATAATGGATAAAATGACCAATTTACCCCTAATGAGTGGTTTATATCTTTTATATCATTAGAAAGTTATCGTCAAGACGATTAAAATGACCCAAACAAAATAAAAGATATAAACCAAAATAAAAGATTAAACATGGAACAATGACCTATGTTCTGTTCTGTTTAGTGTACCAAACTCACCTTTCAGTACCAAGTACACAATTACCGGGATTCAAGGCCTAACGACTAAATAAAAAATGTTAAAAAACCTCTGCCATACCCTTAGAAGATTCATCAGAATTATAAGGTTGTCTTTTGAGTTGACGTAGCGTGTCATAACATAAGAATTCGAACGGTCGAGCAATATGCATCCCAATAACTGTAACGAAAGGCAACAACCAACATTTGAATATCAACATCCCAATGTTAACGACAATATATTTCTAGTTACAAATTATCATACCTTAACAGCTTGTCTTCTGGTGATATAGTTTGCAGATTTCAGTAGCCTTTGGTTAAATTCAGTAAAAAACTAGCAAAAAAGCATGGATCAACATCTTATCCAAGCGTTTCCATAGAGACCAACATAAAAATCCTTAACATAATGATAAAGAAGAAATAAAAGGGTTGTCTACCCAACAATAGTTTGTGGACAGAGATTCAGATACAGTAGACTTATGCCTAGTCAAAAGGTCCTATAAGAATTTGATCAAAAAAGACAATCAGAATGCAGTCATCTTCTTCAATACAACTTGAAAACATAAAACTACAAAAAATTTCTAACCTTGAATGTATCTGCAGCATCTGCAGCAATATCGAAGCTTGGATGTTGTATGTAATCGAAGAACTTCCTCTGTTGACTTGGTTCCAATATGTAACTGTAAAGCGGTTAAATCCAATTTGATATATGCACATAGTACAGTTAAGCTATTGTCATGTCAATTCACCTCTTAACAGTTTTGTGCTTACCCTGCAACGATTTGATGACGTAGGCACTCCTTTAACATCCTACCATAATGGAGAGCTAATTGAGGATCCTCGTATCTGTTAGAATATTGTAAGTTGTAAAGTTATAACCGACACCATCTTAGAAGAACACAAAAATATGAGACCTGGGCCTGTTTGCTAGCAGCTTAATGAGCTTAATGAGACTCACAGCTTATTCGGTCAATTATACATGACTGTCTGGTAGTGGCTTCATTATATAGCTTGTGGCTTATTCATTAAGCTTTTAGGGGGAGCTTTATGCAGAAAGCCAAACTTCTTCCAAACTTTCCCCTCCAAATTAGAAAACATGCTCCTTCCATCTATGAAAAAAATCCTCCCAAACAAAAATCATCCCCATCTATACAGGCAGATTAATCTACACAAACAACTTTATCAATAAAGGACTTAGATCTTGTTTGTTAGCAGCTTAATGAGCTTAATAGAACGCCCAACTTATTTGGTCAGCTATGCATGACTGTTTGGTAGCAGCTTCATGATATAGAAAGTGGCTTATTCAGTAAGCTTCTAGGAGGAGCTTTATGCAGAAAGCGAAGTTTTTTTCCAAACCTAACCTTCCCAATTAAATAACACACTCATTCTATCTATGAAGAAACCCTCCCGATCTATATAGGCAGATTAATCCACACCAAATGGCTTCATCCATATAGGACTTAATGGAAAACCAATCAACCAACCCTTACCCAGATATCAGAATGTCCACAAGATCTAGATTAGCCTCCAAATATCTTGAAGCCTCGAAGCGTGATGGTAGGGGTTGCCTCTGCAAACTTGCAACAACTTGTGTGGCATCTTTACGGGTCTATGAAAGAAATAAACCACAGATTGTAGTGAAATTACAAAATTTATGTAGTCGTTCGTAGTAGTAGTTGTTGAAAATGGTTAAAATACCGACCTCTAAGTTCAACTTTGGAAGAAAGATCACAAGGAGACGGAATGTGTCTTCCTTAAAGAACTCTTGAGTCAATTGGGCACAAGCTTCTTCAGAAGGCTCGGAGTCATCATCACCATAAAGAATCAACTTTAACTCCCTAACTAGTGAGCTCAACTCTGTCATCTGAACATAAGACAAAATGCTCTTAAGAACCATTTAGAACGTCATATATGACATAGCTTATTTTGTTAGCAGCTTAATGAACTTAACGAGACTCTTATCTTATTTTGTCAGCTATACATGATTGTTTGTTAGTGGCTTAATAACATAGAAAATGACTTGTTCAATAAGCTTTAGGAGGGAGTTTCATGCAGAAAGCCAAGTTTTTTTCCAAATCCCGCTCCGCCCAATAAGATAACACTCTCCTTCCATCTATGAAAAACCTCTCCTAAACAAAAACCTTCTCAATCTCTACAAACCCATTAATTCACACATACAACTTTATCTATACATGACTTGATGGAAAACCATCCAAACAGCCCCGTAGGAGAATGCTTAAAAATCATTGGAAAAAAACAAGAAAACATCTAGCAAAAAAACAAACAGAAAACTTGCAATCGATTAAACTTGTCCTAGTAGAAACCTGGGAGGTGAGATTGGGGGAGTTTTTGGAATAGAGGAGAAGGGATCGAGTCTTGTGAACCACCTCTGCCGGAGAGCGAAGTTTTTTTGTGGTGGTGGAAACGCATGGTTTTCCGAGTGTGGGAAGGCATAGCATGTTTGTTATTGTTGTGAGATTGTTGATGAGAAATAATGAAAGTAGTTTGGTTATGGAGCATTGTTGTTGGTGTATGTGGGATGGACAAGGTAAAAGACATTGTGATTTACAACTGCTTTGTTTCTTGCTGCTTAGATTTTGACAATTTCTTCTGTTGTTTGCAAGTGCAAGATTTGATGATTCTCTGTTATCTTAAATTTGTTTTTATCGCTTAATTGTTGTTAGTATCATCGAAAACTTCTTATGTTGATGTGTCTGTTGTTGATAGTGATGTGATAAAAGTCATGCGCATGCCTTTTTCAAAGCATTATTATTCCTGAGTGCAGGTTCAGTCTTTAGGCAAAGACTTGGCTTAGAGTCAAGAAGAGAGCACTTATGATAATGCTTTGATTTTTACCGTGATAATGCTTTGATAGATCAAAGGCTTTATATGATGTGATTTTGTTGTGATAATCGAAAACCTGATGATCACGTCCCCACTCATCGTTCTACCTGTTCTTTTGGTTTTGATGTGATATTAATGTGATGATACATTGTAATCGGTGAGCATATTATCTATACGTGATTTCAAGGATAATGCAGTCACAAAGGTTATAGATAACTACGAAATTACATTTAGCCTTCTTAATTATTTTGTTTTCTTGTAATTGTAATCAATCCGCTCATCCGTTGTATTGGATTGGGTTGGTCCAAAGTTAAATCGGCTATTAAAATTATATCTAATTGAAGATTGGATTGGGTTTGTTCTGCCCAAATCTATTGAATATGAATTGATGAATGCTTTAATTTTGATAAGGGCAAATCGCATGAAAAAGTAACGTATTTTAATTTGATTTTTATTTTAGGTAACGTACTTTCAAAACTTACATTTTGGTATCTAAGATGTAAAGTTTTAAATATTTAAGTACCCAGGTAACTGGTTTAAGCATAAACCGGTTATCATGCTAATGTGGCGAGTGATGTAGCATGAAACCTAGTATTATATGCTATTCAACCTAATTTTATCCCATCACTTGCCACATAAGCATGATAACTGGTTAATGCTTCGATCGGTTATCCAAGTACTTAAATATTTAAAACTTTACATCTTAGATACCAAAATGAAAGTTATTGCTTTTAACTTGTGACATTTGGAGCAACCATCCATCAACATTTGTCATAATAAAATATACAATTGTGTCCCAAATGTTTGCGAAAAATGTATTTAGATTTTATATTTCATCAAATGATGTGATGTGTCAAAGCCATAAATTTGTCATCTACTGATTTTCATATTGAATAAATTGTATAAAAAAATAACGTACTTTAAATTAATTTTTATTTTGGGTAATGTATTTTAATAAATTTTAATTTGGTATCTAAGATGTAAAATTTTAAATATTTAAGTACTTGAGTAACCGATTGAAGCATTAACTGGTTACCATGTTGATGAGACGAGTGATGTGGTATCCAACTCAATATTATTTGTTGAAGCATTAACTGGATACTACATCACTCGTTACATCATCATGGTAACCGGTTATAATACTTCAACCGGTTACCTGAATACCTCAAACAAATGTCAAAAATAATCGTAAAAAGGGTATATTTTTGTAAACATTATGTAAAGCATATATATATTTTATTAATTTCTTTAAAAGATCCAACAATCCACTTCATGTTATCTAATCGTAAAAGTGAACCCGTTTAAACATTTAAGTTTAAATTTATTTGACAAATCCAATCCTCCCAAAAGAAAAAAAAATCCAATCCCTTTTAAAAAATGCCACCTTAAAATCGAATTATGATTTTTGTCCCTATGATTTTAAAATTCGTTTCCGTACCTGTCCTTTGCAATTTATTGCTATTTTCATCCTTAGAGGCTAACTCTTACCTTTTAAGCACGAGGGATAAAACAACAATGAATTGTAAACCATGACAACGAAAATAACAATAAATTTTAAACCATAAGAACGAAAACAACGATAAATGTAAATCATATGGATGAAAACCATAATTTCTAAAGTACAGAAGCGAAAATAACAATTTTCAACAAACACAGGGACTAAAAGTGTAATTTAATCTAAACCCAGAGAAAATGAAATTCTCAATTTGACAAAACACCCTTTGCTCTTATTTTTATGCCCTCTTTCACAAATATAACCACAAAGCTAAGCTCGTCAATAAAGACAAAAGGATGATAAAATCAACCCAGATGCACTTGTAGGCTGTAGCCACCTGAAGATTCACCTTCTGTAAACGAAACCGACAGTCGTGACTTACCATAAGATCATTCTGTACGAAACCAGAGGTCACCCATCTCCCGAAAAATAAGTCTACCCATGTAATGTAATGTAATGTTTACAAATCTCTCTCACAAATACTACACTGTCATCTATATCTATCTTTCAAATCAAATCAAATCAAATTACCAATTTGCCTACCCTTTCCATCTTTCACACCATACCATAATTACCAATTTGCCCACCCTCAACCCCCAACAAATCTCAATCATCTCCAAGAAAATATAAAGAAAAGGGAACCCAACCATTTGTCATTTCTCCCCCCTCATCATGCCCCATTCTATGCTCCAAGATTTTCTTTACCAATTTTATGCCCCAAAATCCCACTCAAATGCCACTATCAACATCCTAAGCTCTTCAAAATGTCCCTCAGTTTCTCAATAACCATTGTTGGGTTGGCATGAGATCCACCAAGATATATTGGGTGGTATTTGAGACCTTTCCACCGAGAAATTAGTGCAAAATGAGGCCTCCTAAACTCATTCGATATGATCTCCAAGATTTCGGCTTCTGGTGTTGCCGACACTATATGAGTCAGTCCTGCCCCATGAGCACCAACAATAACCGATGCATCTTGGATGGCTCTCACTTGCTCTTTCATTGACATATGCCCGAAAAGCCCGTTGATTAAATTCAATTTGCAGTCTGTATGATTCCATGACCAGCTCTTTAACGCATCAAATACTTCTTGTTCGTTGCTAAGCCTTGATTGAACCTTGCCACCATGGCGGGGATGAGCCAGATAATCCTCACGCCGGACAAAGAGGATGTTATGATTTCGTGTCCCTGATTTCGAATTCTGGTGGTGTCTCTGTAACGGAAGTGCAAATGCAGCTCTAATCATCTCCCCAAATTCTGATATTCGGGCGGTTTTCTTTTCATCTGGGTTCTGCCACAAATCATGGGCAGGTGATCCGTAACAATCGATGTCTTCAGACAGACCCTTGAACATGGCTGTTTCATACCCTAAAGGCGAGAGGATAGCATGACGAAAGCAAACTGGACCGCTGAAATTTTTAGCATATCTTAGACCCGAGAACACAGCTTTCCATGTTTCTTCCAATGGTGTCTGAAATGTCACCAGAAAAGATGGATCAAGAATCTTCTTAAAATTTAGAGAGCCTCCTAAATAGTTCCAGTAACATATATCTTGAACTAAGTTCAATTTACCAAATGAAATGACCGAAAGAACAGAAGTGAGCATCCTTGATAAGCATAAAGAATTAACTAATAGAGATGAAATAAATTGACTTGTAAAAATTCCCAAATTCAAGAAATTTTAGTCTTAAACAAGAACTCAGGGCCTGTTTCTTAGCAACTTAACGAGCTTAAATAATGAGACACACAACTTATTCGGTTGGCTATACATGACCCTTTGGTAGTGGCTTAATGATGTAGAAAGCGAAAAATTCAGTAAGCTTCTAACGGGAGCTTTATGCAGAAAGCCAATTTTTTTCCAAACCTGCCCCTCTCAATCAAAAAACATGTTCATTCCATCTATGAAAAGCCCCTCCGAAACAAATTTTTTCCCAATCTATACAGATAGACAGATTAATCCATACAGACAATTTTATTTATGCAGGACTTAATGGAAAACCAACCAAACAACCCCTCAGAAATGTATACGCTACACCTTATAAGAACTCTTTTGCCTGACCCTTCCACTCTTCTATGCCATCTTGGCCACCAAATTATACGACGTGTTTCACAAAATTTGAACAAGAACATAAACATTCAATATGATCTATGGAATTCTACCAAAGGAGGAAAGAACTAGTTAAAGACATTCAACATGAGGGATATATCCTGAATGATCTCACTGTTATAAATGCCTTAACACCCTGAACCCCAGGCTTCTCTAATTTTCTGCCCTTTTTTCACTACCATAAGGAATTATGGAAAATGTAAGAAACAACATTAACATATGTAGCAAACACAATAACAATTATCCAACTGAGTCAAGATGAGAACCATACCATGCAGTGACCATCTACAAAAACCACTTGAGGTCGGTTTGGCAAGCCAGTAACTCTGGAAGAGACATAGGCACTGTACCAGTCCGTTACTGTGTGAAAAAGGTTTGCATACTCGAAGCGAGTGACCAAAAGTGTTGGCTCCTCAATCCACTATCATGAGAGAGTTTCATATCAATTATTATTCTGCTATATAATAAAATGCGAACATCAGGCAACTTATGCAATCTTTTCCATTCAATATGAAAAGGGTATTTCCCAAGTTAATCCAAACACGGAATGAAATGATATGCATATAAAGAGGTGAAAAAAATATTGACATACTACAATCAGAATCTTATAGAAATGTAAATTAAAATCACCACATTAGAATCAGAATCTAACAACCATGTAAACGAATATTGTGTCATCTTGTATCACTACTTCTCTTTATCCTACTTCTTAATTAACCAAGTTCATCTAAAAACCATATTATTAAAAAATGACCGTCACATTTTCTGGGAGATAATGTTGATACAAGGCCATTGTCTGTGTATGGTTGATGCAACGGGAACCAAATATATCAGCTTTGTCATGGAACATGTTCTAAGAAAAACGTGTTTGGTTCAATGCTTTAAATTTGACATTTTTGAGATTTATACCAAAATAAATTCTATTTAGTTTAATGTTGTTACTATAATTCTATCATTTAACCATTCTTGAAATTGGGAGTATATGTGTTTGTTTATGGTATTCGTAAACTAGCTTGAGGACCGAAGGAGAGTACTTTTGCCAATGGAAGGTGTCTTTCAGTTACCAGGGGTTCTATACTTCTACCAATTGATATCTTTCCAAAAATAATTCAAAGTCCATTTCTTGATTCGTAGATTTGATTTTTGGAAACACTCATAACTAGTTAATGTTATAACATAATAACATGGAGGGAGTTTCAAATATAAACCTTCGAATTCTTACAAACCATACAAACCAATCTTAACCGTTCATCTAACCTAATGAATATCAAGTTCCATAAATATTTCTATTGTTTCCTAATCTAAATAATGAATGAACTATATCATCTTCCATAAATATATCAATTAGTTCTACAATTCTAAGTGATGATCATGGTTTGTTTGGTTTGTAAGAATTAAATGGTTCGGATTTTAATCTCTCTCTAGGAATATAAACAGATATAAGTGATTGGTATACTTCATATTCACAACCTCAAAGCATTTTGTAATTCAATCAAACGTATATCATATATGGAAAATAACCAATTGAATTAGACTGGATTCTGCATAACATGTTCATAATCATATCACCATAATCCTCATAGCCCAAGGAAGAAAGCTCATAAGTTGATTTAACAAAATCAAATCCCAAAAACTAGATAATGGTGTCTCAGATTACAAGCAAATTTGTTTGATCACTTCAGATGGATGAAATCATGCAAGATCACAACAGAATTCAGATTTACAGATATGGAAATAACTTGAGGATCCTCTGATCTCCATTAATAAACAATAACCTCCCGTATTTAAGATCTGATTTGCGTAATCAATAGAAGATTATACGAATACGATGTAATATAATAAACAATTTTCGGTTTGTGCTATAGCAATTAATGATCAAGGAGTTCATTAATGGAGGATGAAATTTCAGTTACAAGCTAACCTGAGAGCATTCGAATTCATTGGCGCCAATTAACTGAATCGACTCGATCAACTCTCGCATAGTATGCCTAGAGATCTGTCCTTTCTGTAAAAACTCATTCAAAAAACCCTCATCAGCAAGCTTCTTACCGACGCTCTTCGATTTCTCACCAACTTCCAAATCGAAAGCTCCAGATTCAAACTCCGGCAACTCTTCCTCCTCACCTCGCCCAATCACACTCTCCAATTCCTCTCCACCAATCGACATCTTAATCTTATCAGGATGCATCCGCATCCTCCCGCCTTCACATATGGAACTCCGCAATGTCTGACTATAAAAACACCTAAACCATCCTCCTCCGCCTCCACCTTTCCCAGATTTCCGATAAATCTCCGGCGAGGGCTTGAGCAGATGAAGAGAGCGAGTGAACCCATTACCAAAATAGGCTTCACAAGATGTAAAGGGGGTGTTAGGGGTTAAAGACCATGGAAGGTAAGAGGGCAAAATAGGCCATGGTTTATTGGAATTAGGCAAAGAAACCAGAGCTGTGTGATGAGGAAAAGAGGAACGGAAATGGTGAGGGTTTGGGGTTGAAGATGAAGGACGGCGGAAGTAATCAGGGTGAGACGAAAAATAGAGATAAAGGGTAATGGAATTGAGAATGAATAGAGAGATGAGGAGTTTTAGGGATTTGGTGTTCATCTTCATCACTTTGTTGAAGTCTCCTCCACGTCTTTGCTACCAGTTGCAGGTGCCTTTCATCACAATACTTCCATTTTCCATATATACCATTTAATTCTTATTTCTAGTTTTTGTTTACCAAAAACTTTATTCACAAGTTAATAAACACTAAAATCACATGTGATTTGTGCAATCGTAGGTTTTTATATTAGAACTACGGTTGTTGAGTTTTATGTATGTTATTAATGTGATAAACTAAAAATGACTTGACAAGAAAAAGTACAAAAAATGGGTCCTCCTTTGGAGATGTTCTAAGGGCATCTTCAGTGCATGACATTCTACCAGAGTGTCATGGACTGCCACATCAACATTTCACTCACCATACAACTCTATTATTTTATACCTACACTCCATAACACTCCAATGAGTTTAATGGATTTCCACATCATATATATATAGGTGGAGGTTCAAACGAGAACCCCTGTGATTTACGAAAACGCGAGAATAACTCAATAACCACAAACTTTTTTAATTAATAAATTAACTTTTATTATATATAAATAATTTAATAAGGGCAGTAATGTAATTAAGTAATTTTTATAATTTTTATTTTATTTTTAATTAACCATGTTTATCTTCACGTTTCCACGTCTTCTTCTCCTTCATTGATAACGTCTTCTTCTCGTTCATTCACGCGTCTCCAAATCACACCCATATCACACCAAATTGGTAGTCGAATTTTTAAGTTAACCCTAGCCGAACGAAATCCTTGTGATAATTGTGTGATAATCACATGATTATCACACCCAAATCACACCAAATCATGTTGATATRAGCGATAATGTGATAATTGTATGATAATCACATGATTATCACACCCATATCACACCAAATCGTGTGGATGTAAGCGATAGTGTGATAATTGTGTGATAATCACATGATTATCACACC